TTTTTCTGCGCCCCTTACACAGTAACAGCTTCAGGGGATGTCATAACACAGCTATCGTTATTCTTCATGGATCTTTTCCAGTGTTTCTGACACATATTTCAATGAAGCGGATATTTTTAGAAATAGTCCAGGTGCTTCGCAATAAATAGGTGACCAGTTTTAAAGGAATAGTTCAACCACACACAAAAAAAAATAATAATACTTGCACTACACCAAAAAAAGAAAGAGAATTTTAAGTTCACACTTTTATTTGCAATTACATTGAGTGGTAAATGAAGCTTTCAAAGAGGCTCGGTGAAGCAATCATTTGGGTCTTGTGAACCAGATCAACCAATACATTCCATAACACTACAACTTCTAAGGTTGTAATTTTGACTATTTTAAAAATTTGTAATAACTTTGTTGAAACAGAACCCATATAACTTCAGTACCCTGACTTTTCTTAAAGAGATAGTTCACCCCCCGACCCACCCCCTCAACAAAAAAAATTACCTCGTCATTTACATTAACTGATAAAAGTCTTGTCACCTATCCAAGTTTTAGGAACAACAAATAATAACGACATCTAGGCAAAGGCCTCTAGAATACATTTATTTGAACAAAATAAAATGCCTTGATTTTTAATTATTTAATTAGGAAATAATGTCTGAGTTTGCTTAGATAAAAGTCTTGTCACTTAACAGAAATAATATACAGTAAAAAATATAAAGTCATGTTGCAGTGGGAAAAGAATTAATAAGCATATGCATATTAATATGCATCCACATATACTGCATCCATACATCTCTGCAATGACTCTTATTGACTCTTTACTTATTAATAAAGTCAACTGGGATGGCAAAAAAGCGTTCTTGCACGACTCCCAGAGTTCATCAATATTCTTTGGATTCATCTTCATGCCTCCTTCTTCATCTACTCCAGACATACTCAATAATGTTCATATCTGGTGACTGAGATGGCCAATCCTGGAGCACCTTGACCTTCTTTGCTTTCAGGAATTTTGATGTGGGGGCTGAAATATAAGGAGGAGCACTATCCTGCTGAATAATCTGCCCTCTCCTGTCGTTTGTAATGTAATGGGCAGCACAAATGTCTTGATACTTCAGGCTGTTGATGTTGCCATCCACTCTGCAGATCTCTCGCAAGATTTTGAATAAAAATTACTAAAACAATTAACCTTTACTGATTAACCTTAAAATACTGGTAGCATTTTTGTTTAAGGACCAATTCCTACCAGTCGGCTGGCCAGTTGGCATTTCTGTGTGGAATGCATATTCTTCCTGTGTTCATGTGGGTTTCCATCAGGTGCTCCTGTTTTCCCCACAGGCCATAGACAAGCGCTGTAGGTGAATTGGGTAAACAAAACTGGCCATAGTGTATGGGTCTGTGTGTGAATATGAGAATGTATGGCTGTTCCCCAGTACTGGGCTGTGGCTGGAAGGGCGTAAACCATATGCTGGAATAGTTGGTGGTTCATTCCGCTGTGGTGACCCCTGATAAATAGGGGACTAAGCCGAAGGAAAATGAATGAATAAATGTACTACTGGCTTATTACCTGACTATTAATAAGACATTGACTGCTTTTATTTATAAAGTATGATCTTATTCTACATCCCTAATCCCACCTAAACCAAACCACTGACTAAAACATCAAAATAAGCAAAGAAAGTAAATTGTGTCCACTTTTATTTTATGACAACCACAATAGCAAGTTACTAGAAAGCATTTATATAATTTAGAAATACACTGCTGAAAATTACAGTATACTACTGTAGATCAGCAAAGCATCTCAGATGTGTGCTGTGAAGGGTGTCCTTAACAAAGTGCTCTGGCTCTCAAAAAGTTCAGTCAAGCAGTGGGAGATAATGAGTCTTCAACTTTGACCTTTGACTAGTTGGTCTCTCTCTTTCTCTCTCTCTCTCTCTCTCTCTCTCTCTCTCTCTGTGTATGTGGAGTTGCTGGGGGAAAGAGAGGGAGGCTCATCCAATTACTGTAATTGGCCACTTAGTGAAGCTGTTGCCCATCATAAAACACGGAGGGCCATTTATCTCCTCAACAAAAGACGTGTCATTGAACAAAATAACATCTCATCATCTTTCAGTCGCACAACATTCTTTGAAAACCCTCATCACAAATACAGTCTCTGAGGGAGTCATGCCATGAAGGCTTTTGAAAAGCAGATCTCGCTCTTACAGCAGAGCTATTCAACTGAATATGAGCCATAATGAAGGGACGCCGGGGACTTGTGACCTGAATCGATTGGTAGGTGACTTCAGTAAATGCTCCCGTCACTTCTGATTTTATAAAACATAGCAGTGATGTGTGAGATTTTCTGGCTTTTGTGTAAAAAAGCATTTTGTGTTAACGTTTAAAAATAATCTAATCAATCTACGTCAAATTAAAGTGTTTCAGTGCACTCAGTTTGATGACTAATGCAATGAGAAAGTAATTTTTGTTTGATTAATCAAAGCCCCAAATGAGATTTCCAAATGTCCTAGATGGCTGAGAGCCGAATGATTGCTTGCGTGGCTGTGTAAGTCTCCTCTTGCCATCAATATTCATGCGCAATGATTCATTATTCAGATTGCTGAGCACAGAGAGTTCAGAGGAATGTTGATACAGATTTGAGACATTCATAAGTGCTGCACACCTGCAGGGACTCCACTAAAGACTGAGATTTAGCCAGAACTTGATGCTGCTGAGGCCATGAAGTGCTCTTATGGACACTGTGGAAAGCAAAGGAATAAAAACAATATAAATATATCTTAGAATAAAATATATATGTTTAAGATTGCTAGCTTGCCAGTGGTGGAAAGAGTACTGAAAAATCATACTCAAGTAAAAGTACCATTACTTGCCCAAAAATGTAGTGCGAGTAGAGTAAAAGTTTCTGTTGTAAATATTACTCAAACTATGAGTAAACAGTTGCCCTTTTAAAAGTACTCAAGAGTGGTGAGTAGTGAGTATTAGGTTTTGAAAAGTTTCATGCAGTTTGTGCAGGAAAGTGTAAACGTAACATTCTGTAGTGCATTTTGTGATCTTACCATATTCACTCCTTCCTTTGATTGTTTGCTTATTCTGTCCTTTATTCATTTGTTCAATCGTTTCTCCATTCATTTCATCCTTAATTCATTCCTTTCTTCATTTGTTTGCTAATTCATTCATTCGTTCATTCTTTTGTTCCTTCATTTGGTCCTTTGTTCATTCATTCATCCGTTCCTTCCTTCCTTCCTTTGTTCAGTCTTTCCTTGAATCCTTCATTTATTTGGTCCTTCCTTTCTTCATTAGTTTGGTCCTTCCTTCATTCGTTTTTTCCTTCCATTCCTAGTTCCGCCCTTACTTCCATTCTTTATTGTGATTTCAGTCATCATACAGTCCACATCCTTCATTTTTCTCATAATTGACATGCAGTCTATAAACAGTCTCTTGGTCAGTGCATGTGATGATTTTGGACATCTCTTGGACATTTTTATTGCTTGAGGTCTTGAGGATGTTCAGCATGATGCAATTTACTTTCAGTGTGCGAATTGATTGGACTGGAATCGCGGGGCTGAATTCTCTACTTTAGCCAATCACCATAGACAAGAAAGATATAAAGTAGTGACTGCAGATTAAAGAAAAATAGTGGAGTAAAAGTACCGATACAGCACAAAAAAATTTACTCAAGGAAAAGTAAAACTACTTATCAAATTGCAGTAATTGGAGTATTTGTAATTTATTACTTTTACACCATTGGTTTTATAAATTGGGAGTCATGAGCCCCCGAGGGGTCACGGGACAACGAAGGGGGGTTGCCTGGTGATTTCCAAAAATCTATTTATTTTTATTAAACCATAAGAATTACCAAATTTTATCCATAACCTACTGAAAAGAAAAAAATAGTTGCTTATAGTTACTTCATACTATATAGTTACTATTGTAGCTTAAAGTTACTAGGTCTATTGGATTGCGACCCAGCAATAGCGTCAGATGCAGCAGATTGACTTTATAATGCCAGGTTGAACTTTCTGGCACATTTACAGCACTGAAATACATACAAAAAAAAGTTAAATGAAGAATAGACTTGGGTCTATTGGAGTGTGTGCGCCATTTCATGCAATGTTTTTGTATTTATAACCACCTCAGAGGAAATTGGGGGTCACAAGTCACTGGCATTGTTGTTTTGGGGGTCGTGGGCTGAAAAGTTTGGGAACCCCTGCTTTACACCACTGCAGCTAGCTTAACAAAAATCATGTACATGTACGAATTTGGTTTATTGGCATTTCAGTACCTTTAACCGTTTTGTACCCTGTGTCTATTTCAATGTTGGTCACATGTCAGGTCATTTTTTAATAATTTATTTTTTTGCTTCTGAAGCATTTCACCTAATTTAAAGCCTGCTGTCCGTGATATAATATGGCTCTACCTGTTGCAATCTGAAATATATCAATTACGCTGAAGAGAAGAATGGCAGCACTGTTCCAAACACAGAGGAAACCATTTTCAATGGTTTTATTCAAATTTATTGATGTTTGACAATGTTTCATAGAATGAATGGAAAAAAGAAGGATTGCATTTAGTAATTAAAGTAAAAAAAAAAAAGTTTTTTAACGGTGTATTCGGTTCTCAAGAGGTTAATGATTCTGGAGGTTGAAATGCAGTTTTTGTTTACAATATTGTTCATTTTGACAAATGGTATTGTAATCTCCACATTTGAACAGTATGTTAACTGCATCATTGTAACATCACCCAAAGTTTATTGTGCATCTCTTAAATTTAAAATTTTTATTTTTTTTTACAAAATTGCAGCTTATTTTATTTTGCATGAGTGGGTTCTGTTTTGTTTTGTGGGTTTTGGGTTTCTCTCATTATACTGACTATACACACTGTTGCTCGGCTACAATCCATTTTTTGTGATTAATTTAAGAGGTTAAGGTTTAATGTTACACTATGCCAAAATGGCAAATATTGTTACAGTATGACTTTCATTTCTGACACTTTTTTTCTCTAATCTCTTTCAGTCAGACACAGAGTTTTGGGATAAGATGCAGGCAGAATGGGAAGAACTTGCTCGCAGAAACTGGCTTACAGAAAATGAGCAGCCACAGATTCCCTCCAATGTGTCTCCTTACGAAAAGGTAAGGAATATTAATATTGTGTTAAGCTAGTAAAATAAATAGAATGTAAATTTTAAGGTGAAATAACCTTTTCACTATTTCCTTCTTAGGGATATTACTTCCACACAGATAACCCTTTCAAAGACTGGCCAAATGCTTTTGAGGAGGGATTGCGCAAGTCGAGAGAAGGAGAGCTGCCGAACGCTGTGCTTCTTCTGGAAGCTGCCGTTCTGCAGGACCCTCAGGATTCAGAGGTGAGCGAGCCGAGCGGCTTTAGAAAACAACAGTAAACCTGCTACTTTCATCAAATCAGCGTCTGCACAGCTTGAAAACAGAAAGCTACATGTTCTGCCAATCAGACCACCGTCACACCTTTCCTGCACACAGTGATAAGTGGTAGTTTGCTTGTTGCCCACATTGAACATTTTACAGATCTTGGCATGATTAGCCGAGGCAGGGGCTTTCTGTTCTCTCTCGTTTTCACTAAGAGCTCTGGATTAGACATCCTACATGACAGTGACTGATGGCAAACCATTAACACTCCAGTAAATGAGTATGGTTGCTTTTTTCAGATGATTTAATGATGTAATAGTTCAGTTACATCCCAGAGAGGATTATCCCTCTTCTCGTGGAATTATCTCACAACGAAATGATTGTGTCTCCAAAATAGCTGAATGTCAAAAGATGATATTACAACGCAAATAGCAGGGAGATTTTGCGTCGGAAATATCATGAGTACACTACACTGGTTGAGTTAAAGGTGCTGAAGAATGAAAATCTATATATACTTATGCATAGCTGACTAATATATTCAGTTCAGTTTATGGAAATGACATACTGTGAGGCTCAAACATTTTAACTTTTGAAATGGGTATTTTGGTAGTTTAAAGTATATATATTGTTAAATGTACTGTGTACTTTTATAATAAGTCGATGTGTACAGTATGTTTGTAATGTGTATGAGTGTGAGTGTCAGGCAATGACATGAGCTGCTTAAGCATCTAAGTAGAGCTCATTAATATCCATGACTCTTCCAAATATGGTTAAAGTCAAGTATATCATATTAGGGTCGATTCCTACACTGTAAAAAAATATCTGTTAATTAACAGTTTCCGTATTTGGTATTTTTTGTTTATTTATAGTTTTGAATTGCATGTTGGGATGTTGATCTCTGCTCTGTTGACTTTTAATGTTGAAAATTTAACTCTACAGTTTAACAAAGTGGCTTTTAGTGACGTTTTCATACTTTGAAATAATATATTGTATGATAAAAACAGGAAATGTCCTGAAAGTTTATTACAAGGCTTTTGTACTGTAATATCAATCCAGACAATATCCCCTTCAGACCTGAATTATATTCCAAGTATCTAAAAAATGTAAAATTATATTTTCATAGTTCTTGAGACTCCTATAAATGAGATCAAATTATAACAATAAAAATTCCACAATCTTTAAGTATATATGTTTTTGTCCATTTCAATGGATATCAGGTCAGAATAGCTGTACATCTTGAACATTAAACTAACATAAAATACAAAAAAAAAACATATATATAATTGCTGGTATAATCTTGAAAATTATTTTCAGAATCACAAACAATATAACATTTTTACTTCAATTTTGAGGTTTTTGTCGTATAGGTTGCCCCTTGTTTATAACAAACTTTATCTTCATCTTCCTCATCACTCCACTTAATGTCTACATCTGAGATATTTCCATATGCCATATGCTCAAGAACTTTAAGATCTGTATATTCTGCATATGAAATTGTTTCAGCAATGAATTAGTACATTGATATAGTTTTTTAAATATATATATATATATATATATATATATATATATATATATATGAATAAATTTTAATCAGCATTCCTGTAGATATAATGTTTGTAACAGATCTTGAACACATTCCCAATGGACAGACATATTTGAAAAAATCCTGATCTAAAGCTTGCATTTTTAAAAATATTTTAAACTTTAATTAGTGGGTGCAATCTCTCTTTTCTACATACAATCTATGAAATATTGGCAAATATATCAATAAATCTGAATAAAAACATTGTAAATATGGCTTATGTCTGTGTCTGGAGTGAAGTGACGCCATGCTGGTTTCAGTGTAGTGGATTTTTTACCGCCATTTGTTTGGATGACTATTGTCCACTCTCATAGACTGTAGACTTTGAGATTGTAGGCACTATTGGCTGACATGTGATGTCCATTGTAATGGACTCAGGGTCTAAATAGGATATACCACTTTAAAGTATTAAAAATGTTTCTAAAAATTTCAAACTTTTGTAAGGTTAAATGTTGTTGGAAGAAAGATCAAGTTCCCATAATGCAATTCAAAAGGTTAAATAAAAAAAATAAAAATAAAAAATGAACCACTAAAAGGTGTAAAGTTGAAACTGGACCTGTTAAACTATTTCTGTATCATTTTTGAACATGCTTATATGCCACTAACCTTCAATTTAGATATAAGAGAGCAATTTAACATATTGTATCAATGCACCTTTAAGAGCCAAACTAACCATGTTGTGAAATTCTATTTATAAGGCTCATTAATACATTTCCCATTGTATTCACAAACTGTAGCCTTGTCATGAGGGTTTCGCCAAGCAGTTTCCTCCCACACAAAGTTAAGAAGCCTATCCTCTAATAATTAGTCTTGCTCAGTGTTCATAACCCTTCAAATGTTTCATCTTAGAATAAATACTCAGTCTCACACTTAATGCAAGACACTGCTTGTGGACAGGGTATCGTTGTGTGTAGCTTGTGTATAGTTAGCACTATACTTTGTTATGTTATATGGTGCAAATGAGACATTGTTTAATAAATATTGAAGACTAGTTTATTGTTCCTTTTCTATTTGTTTTGTATGTTTGTTTTTATGAAGAGATTCTTCAGGTATCTCTTTTTGACACTTTCACAAATTCAGAAAATACTCTGAACATCCACAAACTAATAATAATTTTATTGAAAACTAATGTCCAGTATTTAAATAACTTGTTAGTTTGTCTGTGAAATACAGCTTATGCACCCTGTATTGTAATTGAAATCTTACACAGGCTGAAAAAGTGCAACAAAAGAGACACGTTTTTTAATTTACTTTACTTTAAAAAGTGACATGTTGATTTCAAATTATTTTATGATTATGGACTTGATAGTTTATTTACTTAATAATTTTAAGGCAACAGGGTTATTCAGTTTTCCATGTAAAATAAATAAATTGCAATGGTCCCGCCTTAAACCAACATTTCAAACTTCAGATATTTGTGAAGAGGCACTGTATAAGTACACGCAATGTGTCATCATCTCAAGAAGTGGCAGCACTAGTCCATTGAGCTCCTCGCTAACATTGTGTTCTCTGTCTAAGCCACGGGTCTTTAAGAGTGAATCATTTCCCCCAGGTTAGCACTGAAGCTCCTGCACAATAGCAGCTCGTCACCGGAGTCAAGGTGATAACCCCAATGCTCATTGTTCAATACCTGTTTTCTTTTCAGGCTTGGCTGGTGCTGGGAACCACACAAGCAGAGAATGAGAATGAGCAGGCAGCAATTGTCTCCCTCCAGAGGTAAAGAAGTATGCATGAATCATATGCAAATGGTGTTTTTACATAGAGCCCAACCACTTATGAAGTCTAAATGAATAAGTCTAAGTGAACACTTTGATAGTGTTGGTAACTTTTCAGACCCAGCAATGTGTTCAAATGATGTCAAATAGGAGTTTAAACATAGTCATCTTAAACAAGGCTAAAACGAGACTAGACACAAATGACTGTTTGGTGGCTAGTCTATTTATTTATTATTATTTTTTTTTTTAGCCTTTTATTTGTCCAGACATGGTTTGGATGTCCTTTTTTTTAAACACACAAAGAATCAAGTTTTTTTCCAAACTCAGAAAAAAATTGTGTATTTTGTTGATCATAAAAAAATGCATATAATTACTACTACAACACTAAGATCAATCATAATCAGTAATTTATTGCAAACAGTATCAAGAGCAGTAATTATTTTTGTTACAATATTTCAAACCTGTTAAGTTGAAAAGAATTTAAAATCTAATATATTTATATATACACACACAACAGTTCTGTCTGGTTCTTGAATCTGATTGTCTAATAGACGTGCGATATTTTGCCAGTAACATCACACAAAGCCCTCTTCACCCTTCACTGTGTATTACTCCGCCCACACACAGCCAGCAACAAGCAGAGACGCTGCAGTTTGACAAATATTACTGTTGTTAGACAACAAAATGTACTTTTGAGGCTTTTTTAGACGAGAATGTAGTTGTTTAGATTGCAACTATGCAGTTTATATGTAAGAATAGTGCCTATTGTAAAATATTTACAATTTCTGAGAGACAGCTCGTCGGCGGCCAAAGACGGTTGACGTTGTCTATCCACAAGATGGCGCCAGGACTGCATAATAAGCCCTTGCTTAGAGTGTTTTTCTGAGCGCGAATAACAAGCTGAAAAACGGAAGCGTCATGATTTAAGGTAGACTGGATAGTCAATAAGAAGCTTCGAATAAGAATCTGGATTCAAACTCGTTCCTCATTATCGCAAACAAAACAGCAGTCTGGTAAGTTAGTGATTGCTCTGTTTTTTTCTAGGTTAATTATTGTGATATTGTAACAGTCGCTTAATGTGTAATATGCATTGTGTATAAAATGCCCCCCTAAAGACGACTATTTCTGTGTTTTTTGTTACCTTTGAGATGTAAGCATGCATGTGAAAAGCCATCGGTCTACAGAGATTTCCCAGTATTTCCCTGTTGCAATCAGGATATCACAATAATTAACCCTGAAAAAGCCAAAGCAGAGCCAACACTACCATATTCTGTTGTATAAATACAGCACTACAAAATACAAAAGAGAGAGATCAACTTAAAATGTCACTTTCCTGATTTATAATGATTTATTGAGCTGTAAAACATTAAAAATGTTAAGAAAATGCAGATTTTATTCTCTATAAGGACTTTTTATGCAGACCATCTTGTGGCGAAGTTAACCATCACTTTTTTGGTCTGCTTAACCAGGCTGATGGCGGATGATGTAATGAATCTAGATATTTTAAAATAGGCACTATTCATATAAATAAACTGCATAGTTGCAATCTAAACAACTACTTTCTCGCCTAAAAAAGCCTCGAAAGTACATTATGTTGTCCTGTAATCCTCAAGGGTGAAGGGTGAAGAGGCTGGACGAGTGCTGTTATTTGCATAATATCTTGCGGCTATCAGCCAATCAGATTCAAGAAACAGATAGAACTGTAGTTTAAATATTTATATTGTTCTTAGAGTATGAGAATAGTTGAATATAAAGTATATAACACAAATATTTTATTTCCAAGATTTTTATTTATTTCATAATGATCATGTATAAGCATTTATTATGAGCATGTTGGTACAACAACAACTGAAAAATCAAATGGAGTAGACCGAGTAGCATTCTGTGAAGCAATCCATAAGCAAAGCTTCTAAATTGTTTATTTGTGCATCTTCAGTGGCGATTCTATAATATTTCAAAAAGAGATAATGCACCAAAGTGAAAGTGAGGATTACAGAAAAATTCTGTCACTGGTCAAAATTGAAGGTTTAACATTATAAACAATACTGATATATTTTATGTGTTTTTATAACCCTTAAGGTTACGCACTAAATCAGATGTAACCTAACGATAATGAACCTAAAATACTCATCATCATCAATGTCAAGTCAAGATTAAGGTTAATTAAAAATGAATCCCTTCTGAACAGACATGGTATGTTGAGTAATGAAAGCAACATTTCCACATGTTTGTGTAAGTGTTTAACACAGAGAGGAATGTCAGACAGGCCTTGAATCGAACACCTCCATGTGGTTATCAGCGACACCAAATGAGACAAAGCTCTCTGCCATGCCCTCTCCTGCTCCAGATAAAGCACTACTGTAATAACCCGGTGATCCAATTAAAACTGCATTTCATAAGCACAGAGGCCTTTGGGAGATTACAGTCATTTTGGATAGAACAGACCAGCCATAATCTCATACAGTGTTCCTCTGAGCGACCGGGGTGAAAACTCCAATCTATGTGTGTTAATCACCAGTGACACTCAAAGCTGTGTTTTGGTACCGTGCATCCGCATCACTTCTCTGATATTATCTAACTTAATTTAAAAGTGGTGTGTCATCTGTTGTTGCTACGTCGCAATCCACATCCTGTGTGTCCTAAACCGTATACAAAATTTGAACTAGTATGTTGCAAATTATAATCATGTTTTTCTTTTGTCTATTGATCGGTCTTCAAGTTAATTTTAGCATTTTTCTTTCAGATTTTAATATGAAAAGGAAAGCATGAAATAAAAGCTTCAGAAAATGTTGATGTTTGTCTTGAGCTGCTAAGTTGTACTGTACTTTATTTCCAATAAAATTGGAAGAAGATTCACAAACAGATTCAGTCGCTCAGATTTCTTTGTATGATGCTGTTTGCATCTCCACCTTTTTGACAACCAAGAACTTGAAACTGCCAATTAGAACTTAGCAATTACAAAGTATCAGTACTCCCTAAAGTAAATGGTACATGTGAAATGTGACACAGTCGGCATCCTATTTGAATTGGATGGTTTGAATGGGAGAGGGAGTATATTCAAAATTAAACTGGATATGTAAAATAACTGTAAAAAGCAATTAGCTGACTTTTCTTTAAAAAGGTAAGTACATCCATTGGCTTTAAATTATTAAGTTGATTAACTGTGCATTAATATATAAATTATTAACTTAACAGTTCCAATTTTACAGTTCTAAACAGGTTTACTAACTTTTTTAAAGGCACAATGTGTCATTTTTGCCACTAGAAGATGTGTATTTACAACAAACAAAGGCATAATATGCCGTGACTGAGTGTGAAATTATATGATGTCGTCTTGTTACATTCTATGGCACTCCTGCAGAAGTCATGTTAATGATTCAGCATTCAAAACATATGATCATGGTTATTTGAAGCAGAGTAATGCTGCATTTACACCAGATGTGGATGAAGCATGAAGCGCGAGTGATTTACATGTTAAGTCAATGCAAAGATATGAATAGACATCCTGCGTAACATTTCACTCAAATGAGGCAGCACGAATGACACGATTCGCATGAATAAAGCACTACTGAAGCAAGTTGATCGTTTCAGCAGACATTCGTGCCTCGTTAACCAATCATGAACTTGTTCTTGTATTAGAGTAATTATGACGTAGTGCCAGTTGTTGGTGTCCCAAGGGGAAATCCTCTTGCCAACACCAGATAACAGTTAATCAAACTTGGCTTGGCTCAGTTTGAAGAACTGCTGAAAGCCTCCTTCATACAGGTACAGTTTCTGGAGGAGTTGGTGAACTCACAAAGCTGGGTGCACTGCTAAAAAGATCTAGTGCACTTAGACACGGCGCTGAACGAATATACATTGTTTTTCAGCCTTCCTAAAACACTTAAACACAGCTGTTCTCTCAATAAAATCCATTTAGCAACAAAGCTAGAGTGACCAGACAAATGAATCCTGGTCTATTGTAAAGTGAATTTGATGTGCAAAATGAAGCAAATTTGATGTGCGAATGAAGCAAGTAGACTCAAAATGTTCCCGCGTCTATTTGCAAGCGAATAGCGAGATTTATTCACGCTTTATGCATCTGATGTGAAAGCAGAAAGTGGTCAAAGCGAAACAAGAGAGCTACATAAAGAGAGGAGAGCAAAAGGGCCAAAAAAGCAGCTGAACATTTATATGCCACAGTTGATTTTTTCTGGATCTTCCAGTCATGATCAATGAAGTCGTGGGAATGAAGCAGCAGTGCTGTTTTATTAAGGTTCTGTTATAATGTTGCTCTATACAGTCTAGTAAACTGCACAACATATTAAAGCATCCATGGTGTTTTTTCATGTTTGCTGTAAAACCAAACAAGAAATCTGGGTTATATGACGTCATAATCATAGCAACACAGGTCTCTAGATAAAATTGGTTATTTCTCTGCATTTGAACATTGTTCTTAAGAATTGAAATTATGTATGCATTGAAGTTAGCAAGATATATAATGTATATTAATGAAACAATATTATATATTGTGCCTTTAAGTAAAGTCAATTTGTTGCTTTTAAGGCAATCTACTCACTGTTTTAAATAAAGTAACTAATAACTTTTTTAGTGATGGCTGTATTACTTTCTTTTGTTTTTATACCTCAAATAGGGAATTTTCAAAAGTGCCCTGGTCACACTTATTGTACAAAATGTTTGCACATAATTATAATACATAATATATTATATAGGTGTTTAAGGGATAAAGTTTTATGAAAACAAGACAAAAGACAATATGTAACAAAACGAAAAAGTCATTAGTCATTGTTCAGGGGATTATACTGTGGACAGAAGAAGCACATTTGTGAGAATTCAAATACAATACAAAATTTAATCAAATTATCTTATTTACTTTAGTAAATACTCGTGTTCATTGCAGCTAATTTTTGCTATTAACTATAAAAGTTTAAATCAAAAAAAGTTTAAAAGTTAAAAAGTTTAAAAAAGACACAAAGAAATTTGGGGGTACATTTACATTTAGTCAATTAGCAGTTGCTCTTATACAAATTGACTTACAAATGAGGCATTAAGCAATTCAACATGAAGAGGCAATACACAAAACAAGAGCTAATTATACAAAGAGACTCTTAGTGCTCAGAGAAATAAGAGAGTAAGGAGAGAGAGGGACTAATCTTACATACTTTTGTGTCTTTTTAAAAAGGTTAATACAGGTCACTGTTCACTAGCTTTAAAAGAATTATTACATGTATATTTAAATGTGACCTGAAAAAGAAAGTAAGTCATACAGGATTAGAACAATATCAGAGTAAGTAAATAATGTCCACTTTTTTTATCTGATTATGTAAAATCAAATTAGATTATAATGAAAATTTCAGATGGATTTTCATGTGAATCTAATGTGCACTGCTTTTATTGTAATGGACAACAAGAGAAAATGTTTTTACTGACTCTCATAAAAACAACCTAGTAAAAGCTTTTATTTTGGTGTCGTTACGTCTCCATATTTATTCTTTGATGTATCCGTCTAGCCAGTGTGCTGTACTAAAAAATCTCCAGATGTCACCCTGTCACGCTTGTAAAACACCAAATGCGGCTTCCATCCTAAACTAAGCAAGTGATTTATCTGAGTTTTATGGAATATAACTCCACGGCATGACACAAGCATTCACCCATGAATTAAAAGCAGCACTAATCAGGAAGCATCTGCCTCTCATTATGATGGCAGACAGCTAATTAGTGTCCATCAAAAGCAGCGGTTCTTTAGATGCTTCCCTGTTGTATGTGTGTGCAGGTGTCTGGAGCTCCACCCCAACAACCTCCAGGCCCTCATGGCTCTGGCAGTGAGCCTGACCAACACGGGCATGAGGCAGGAAGCGTGTGAAGCGCTGCTGGGCTGGATAAGACACAACCCCAAATATAAGCATCTTCTGAAGAGCCGCACGCACCTGCAGGGCTCACCTGGATCACGGAGACCCTCCTATCCCTGCCCAGTCAGCTGGTAGGCTTTCAAATCAATGCAGTTCATTGTGAAGAATATTCAGCGGCTACAAACTTTATTTGGATTGTGTGTAAACTAAACCTCGCAACTAACTTTACATTTATTCTTGTAATTATTTTTAACCAGGAGTTATTTTGAGTCTGACTTGAGGTTTTGACTTAAATTATACCATAGGTCTCAAACTCAAATTCTGGAGGGCCGCAGCTCTGCACAGTTCTACTCCAACCTTAATCAGACACAGCTGATCCAACTAATCAGGGTGTTCATGACTCTTTTGAAAACCTCAAATATTTGGATCAGTGATAGGGTTGGAGCAAAACTGTGCAGAGCTGCGGCCCTCCTGGAATTGAGTTTGAGACCTATGGTACAATTTTAGTCAAAACCTCGTTTGAGTTTGAGACCTATGAATTATACAGTAACTACATTTTAAAAGCCTTTGTAAAAATCAAAATTGACTGTTTAATCTGGTACTCGTTATTATTTAGGTGAACAATTAATCAGTGCAAGTTAAAGCATTGGGAAAAAAATTGTTTTAGTAATCTTCAAAGTCTAATCATTTGCTTCAATGCTTGGATCCTAAATGATGTTGATTTGAAGGCTTCAGGCACAATATTCTTTTTTTCTAAAAAGTTTTTTTATCTATAACAGTTTTTTTATAAGTACAAAACTAAGCAAAAAAACATTTTTACAATCTACATTATGTTTTTATACAAATTATGAAAAAAATACTAATAAAAAAACTGTAAACAAATTATTTACATAAGTGAATTAATAAAAAATGGGCACCAGTACATTCAAACATGTACCATATAAAGTAAATAATATACACCATTAGGTTTAACTTAATTAAACTCAAAACATTGAAAAGAAAGAGTAAAACTGTCTATGAATCATAAGCGCCCTACTTTCAACTCTTAAAAAGATAAGCAAGAAAGAGGCTCCAGAACTCTTTAGAAGCATCTGCCCTTGCAAAGTTAATTTTTTCAAGCTTAAGAGCAGCAACCATTTCAGTATGCCATTTACGAAAAGTAGGTGGTAAAGTGGACTTCTAGTCCATCAGGCACAATATTCTTAACCACGCCACTCTTATAGGCCTACTCTTAGTTTGCTATGAAGGAGTGATGTGCAAACAAAAAGCCCCGTCCCAACACAATATTTTGTTTCAGTTAAACGTACATCAACATACTGAAATAAAAGTCTCAGCATCTTCCAGTTCACCTTGACTTCATTCATTCATTCTCTTTTCGGCTTATTCCCTTTATTAATCAGGGGAAGCCACAGTGGAATGAACCAACTTATCCTGCATATGTTTTATACAGCGGATGCTCTTCTAGCCGCAACCCAACACTGGGAAACTACCATTCACACAAGTACACTACGGACAATTTAACTCATTTAATTCACCTGTACCGCATGTCTTTGAACTTGTGGGGGAAACCGAGGCGCTCGGAGAAAACCCATGCTAACATGAGAACATGCAAACTCCACACTAAGATGCCAACTGACCCAGCCAAGACTCAAACCAGCAACCTTCTTGCTGTGAGGCGATTGTAATACCCACTGAGCCCTCGTGATGCCTATTCCTGGACTTCAAAGTTATTACATAACTCTGTACATGATCCAGTAATGTTTAACAAGCCCAAAATGGTTTGTCTAAATATCAGATTTTTTGTCTAAATGAGAATTGTATTTAAACATTTTATTAATCATTTCTCCCAATTCCACTCTATGTAATTTAAAGGTGCAGTAACTGACCTGCCAAAATGCTTACCATTTGCAAAATAGCTGTGAAAACACAGTCCTTACCCTGCCATCCAAAACCTTGCCTCCTGAAATAACGAGCGCACACTTTAAAGATGACTAGATCATGTCATTGGCCATTATGAAAACTTTATAGTACTTTATAATGCTACAATTTTAGACAAAAACTGTATTATATCTAGCACGTTTTCCATTGTGTAGCAACTAATGTGATGTGACTAATGTGACATTGTGTGGTTTTATGCCTCACCCAGAATTACATAAAAATACAAAAAAAAATACATTTAGATAATTTACTTTAATCATTACTATTGACTGTAAAGAGACTTTCAACCAGCACAATAAAAAAAAAATCTGAAGAAAATCACCTACTGCATCTTTAACATGTTATCTCTAGATGTCTGTAGGTGTACAATGAATTAATATTTACATTTATTTTTGTACATTAAACTTTTTTATGTTGTCATGGCCAAATCACTGAATAAAAACATATTTAAAGGTGATTTTATTCTCCTGCAAGAGAAGGTCATAGGTCGCTGCAAAGTGTGAGATGGAATGGAGAGATTTCATAAGTCTTTATAGCATTTAAGATTGGTAAATTGAACTTTCTGCCATAATGTCCTGCTGATTTATTTATACACAAATACATTTTACCAACTTCATTCATTCATTCATTCATTTTCTTTTCGGCTTAGTCCTTTTATTAATCCGGGGTCGCCACAGCAGAATGAACCGCCAACTTATCCAGCATATGTTTTACGCAGCGGACATCCTTCCAGCTGCAACCCATCTCTGGGAAACATCCATACACACTCCTTCACACTCACACATTACGGACAATTTTAGCGTACCCAATTCACCTATAGTGCATGTCTTTGGACTGTGGGGGAAACCGGAGCACCCGAAGGAAACCCACTCGAACACAGGGAGAACATGCAAACTCCACACAGAAACGCCAACTGATCCAGCCAAGGCTCGAACCAGCAACCTTCTTGCTGTGAGGCGACTGCACTACCTACTGCGCCACCGCGTCGCCATTTTAGCAAGTTCCCCTACATAATTTTATGTGATTTGTATGTAAACAATGACTGTATGTAAACAGTGACATGTTGAGCTTGTGTTAGAACCATTCTTATTTGTCCCTACACAATAACAATGCTAGGTTCCACACAATTCATTCATATTATTCCTAGAAAAAATTAAGTTAACGTAATTGTTTTTATGAATTTAAGTGAACTAAACATAAAACAATTAAGTTTGTCCTCCTCAAAACTGGTGAATTGTGTTAATTCAGCTTGTTTTGAGCAAGTTGTTTGAACAAGCAACACAAATGTTTTTGGTTGTACATTCAGATACCTCCTACATGCACCTCAATTTAAAATCTCTCTCTAGAGAGCTCTTTTCCTTTTTCTTGGCTATTAAATGGCAGATTTTGATGATGTTGCTGGTTAGGATGTCCCTGAAGGGCATTTCCTTTGTGTGTCTCTATATCTCCAGCCCCCTGCTGCCAGAGGTGAAGGATCTTTACCTGGAATCGGCCCAGCAGAACGTGGACACCATTGACCCAGACCTACAGACTGGGTTGGGAGTGCTGTATAACCTCAGCTCTGAGTTCAACAAAGCAGTTGATGCTTTCAATGCAGCGCTGTCAGTGCGGCCGGAGGTAAATCCACCATAATGATCCCAGTGGCTATTTCTGATGTTTTCTGGATTGGAAAAATCCAGCCCTTTGGTGTTCTCAAACAGAGCTGTGAGTCAATGTCCTGTGAATTAATTTAATAATGTTGCTTTTTATTGCTCTAGAAAAACATCACTCTTGTGTTAGACTCTTAGAAGTTTACTGATCACAGTATCACTATATACCTGCTGAAGTTAAGTAGAGTTGAGTCTTGTTAGTAACTGAATGAGAGAACCAACTCCTAGAAAAGCTGAGTTTCTGCTGGAAGAGGCCAACAGGAGCTGTTCATGCTGTCGTCTATGAGTCCCAGCAGCCTAATATAGAGATCAGGACACTATACAGTCATAAAGCGCTGTCCTTTAGATGGGATATTAAACCGTGAATGAGCAGGTTTTGCAGAGTTGCACTCCAGTGCTAATCAAATACACGTGAATAAGCTCATCAAGGTCTAGGGGTTACTAGAAACTACAGTCAGGTATTTTATAAAAATACTCTAGGTCAAAACTCAGCAGGACTGTCTTGCCTACTCAGGCATTAAACCAAGTTCCTGATTTTCCGTGATAATATAAAATAATATAGAAATAAATAAAAAATATTCCAGATTGTCCTTTGGATAACCACCAGTAAACTGGTGTTAGGTGGGTGTTCCGGTGCATTATAGCTGCTGGCACACGTCAGGTGTTTAAGAGGATTTTGGCAATAACCAATTTTCACTATACAATTGTAGCTTATTACAGTACCTGCCTATTATTAAGATTTTGGTGGTTAATCAGGTTTACCTACTGTACTTTCTGAAAGTCTGCTCCCTCCACCTACCAAGTATGGCATCATTCACACTGGAGAAGCCTCCGATATTTATTGGGCCCAGTCTTATATTTGATTTGAATCAAACCTGTCCTTTCAAAACTTTGAACTCAGATTGGGATATATTTGATTAAACAAAAAACAGGATTAGCCTAATCCCACCAGAAGGGTGGATTTAGTTGTGATTATTTTTTACTAAATAAACAAAATAAAATAAAAAAGTTTTATTTTTTAAGTGAATGATCACAAACTTAATGGTTACTGATGATATAAATTCCTTCATATTTGAAGCATATGAAGCATGTCACATCTAATGAGCTATGGTAAACAACAACAACAAAACAATATCAAAGCCGTATTGTATTAGAACAAAGTAAAAGTGTTAAATGTTTGTTGATTGCAGTTTTTCTGTTTCTTTCTGTTAAAACAAACAATGCCTGTTTGTGGCCATTAGTATTTTGCCTACTGTACCTGTTGTTCATTGCTAAGCCAGTTGGCTACACTGTTGGTTACATCCACACTGTTGGTTCCAAATTCTAAAATTTGGTATTTGGATCACAGTGATTTAACCCAATGTTCCTTTAAAAACTTATAAAAGTAAGATAGATTAGTTAATCCTGGATAGTAAAACATGAGATTTTCAAATCTGGACCAATTTGATTCTAATAATTAATAAATCACCTCACAGCAAGAAGGTCACTGGTTCGAGCCTCGGCTAGGTCAGTTGGCATTTCTGTGTGGAGTTTGCATGTTCTTCCCGTGTTCATATGGGTGTCCTCTGGGTGCTCCGGCTCCCCACAAGTCCACAAGATAGGTGGTACAGGTGGATTGAGAGTGCTAAAATTGACCCTAGTGAATGAGTTTGTGTGGATGTTTCCCAGTGATGGGTTGCAGCTGGAAGGGCATTCGCTGCGTAAAAACATATGCTGGATAAGTTGGCGGTTCCTTCTGCTTTGGCGACCCCAGATTAATAAAGGGACTAAGCAGAAAAGAAAATGAATGAATGAATGAGTTTTGGCGGTATGGTTCTGTTCTGGTATAGTATGGTTCCCATCTATGCAGTAACAAAACTAGAAACTTTGCATAAACAATTACAATTAAATAGGAGTTCATGTAAATGCCATAGACATGAGGTTGATGACCATGTTATTGGTGGTACCCTAAACATATCAGATATGAGCAAGGGGGAATTGGGTAGGATGGAGGGAGTTTAAAATTGACCCTTCACTAAGCCACACCCGAAAACCTCCACAGACAAATCATGGCTTAGCAACCATACCTAGGTGCTTGAGGTCTGTCAAGATTTCAAGCTAGGAAAACAAGCCAAACATTGTGGATATGGATTGTGCAAATCTGGAACCAGTATTGTAAAAGTTTGGACGGGGTGATAGAGTTCTTTACCTTCCCGAAATCTCAAACCAAAGGGGAGAAATGCCAGGCATGGATCAAGCAGTGTGGAAGGATGTAAACACAGCAAAATCCAGTCCTATTTCCATCTGTTTCAAGCTAAAAAATATTTAGATTACATATCAGTCGTAAAAACAGATATATGATTACAAACTGTGAATTGTGAACACTTGCAATCAATAAACTTCATCTGCAGTTGTTTTTTAGTCATTGAAAGCCATCATGTCCCTGTCAGAGCTCCAACTCTGCGATGTTTACATATATCGTGTGGATATTCATCAGCAATTTAGTCAATAGTTAAGGTGTTATATAGTGCATAAGTGTCTGCTTTTGGTGTTTTTTTTTTTTGTTTTTTTTTGCTTAGTTTTATATTTCCTGGTAGGAAAATCTTTTCTCTTGAATTTGTTCACATCTGCTATTTATGCTTTGACTTTGCATTTCAGTTTATACTTTAATTGCGCTTAAATTCAAAGTAGAATAGAATCTGTAAAAAAGCATACAAATGTACTGACAATTATAGGTACTGTAAGAAGTATTCAAATAGTATTCAGCACAAATCTATGCATTTCCCCTTTCTGGCTGTTCTTTCTATGAATGATTTCTGTAGAAGCACTGACCAGGCGTGTCTCTCGTCTGTTAGTAATGCTATATTTTTTTGAACAACAATTAGCCTATCCGGCTTTTCGGCTAAAATAAGAAAGAGAGATCACTTTATAATTTAATTTATTACTATTAAATTATCTTCAAATTTAATTTACCTTGCTGTTGGTGAACAAAGCTGTTGAATGGTGGATGATGCTTGCGCTGGGATTTAGGCTTTTTCTTCCATTATGATTCACTTATTTTCTAATCGGTTGCATATTTTGTCATGGATATACCCCTCTAATGCATACTGCAGAACTTTTTTTGACAAAAAAAGACCTGATGTATGGATTTAAATAGGCCACCATGATTGATGTAGGAACTGGATTGGTACTCATATGAACAGCTGACCATCAGCTGACTCAGAGTTGAGTGATGTGTCCTACCTGAACTAACCCAATGCAATAAATTATTTATTTGCAAAAAGACTGGACATGAACCTAAACAGCACTAATCCTGTATCCCTTCAGTCAGTATAAAACAATCCTGGTGACCCACTAACTGGTTTATCCACTGGTCCAATACTTTCATTCATATATTTATTTAGTATTACTTCGTATTATTGGCTGCATTGTAGTTTCCATTTATTACTAAGTTCAACTTTCAATTCTGACAAGTTGATTGAAAAAATTATTTGATAACTCATAAATCTGTGAGGCAATAGCACTACCGACAGTGCCACTGTGTCACCCTCTTTTCTGTCATTTCTCAAAAATGCACTTAACGCAATCTCGAATCAGTCATTAGTCGTGGTGATCACTGTAACCTCATTTATCCTAAAATCTTATGACATATGCTTTAATCACAGCTGGTCCTGAGCATCCAGCATAGTTTAAAAGATTTTTTAAATAAAATATATATATATTGCATCGAGGCCAGTAATCTTGAATCAGACCAGTGTCTGAGGCACTCTAACCTTTTGTTTTGTACTCGAAACCATTTGGGTCTCCAATCAGACCTTGAATGGACCTGGAAAGATTTCTAGTCCAAACCTGTTGTGGCAGGACCACTTACCAGTAGGGTGAAACTTCTACTAGCTAATCATGAGCTGTGTCCGAAATTGCATCCTTCCATATTATGCAGTATGCTAAAAACAGTATGCGAGCCATGTCCGAATTCACAGAATTCAAAAAACAGTATGTGAGAAGTACAAGGATGACCTACTACTTCTGCTGAGAATCTGAAGTGCGCATCAGATGGACGCTTTGTTATCCCATGATGCACCACGAGATAATTTATGAACTGGAGTAAAGCGATACAACTGATGCGGGTAGGTCACGTGATGCTGACAAAATGGTGGATGCAATATGTCCATGTTCCATTCATACTACTCATATTCATACTGTATAGAACGCCCTTTTCTAACAGCTAAGTAGTAAATTCAAATGCAGTAGTTGGCAATTGCAGATGCAGCAATGGTTTTCAGATTCACTAGAAATTTCTAGACCAAGTGGATAATACAAGTCAGTTGGAGCTGGTTGAAGTAAAACACTAGACCTCCAGGAGTGGGATTGCAAACTTGGTCCAGGAGGGCTGGTGTCCTGCATAGTTTTGCTCCAACCCTGAAACCCATCCAACACACCTGCCTGTAGCTGTCTAGTCATATTGAAGACAATGGTTATCTTGTTCAGGTATATTTGTTTAGTGTTGGAGCAAAACTCTGCTGGGACACCGGCCCTCCAGGATCAAATTTGCCCATCACTGGATTAGAGGGTCTATAATGTATGTCTCTATTGTGGGTCAAAGAGAGACAGCAGTGGAAAGAGTAACAAAAAATCAAGTAAAAGTACCATTACTTGCCCCCCTAAGTGTGTAGTGCACGTAGAGTATAAGTAACTATTCTAAATACTGAGTAAAAAACAGCTCTTCTAATAGTACTCGTGATTAGTGGGTAGTGAGTATTATGCTGTGAAAATTAGTCCCCATAATAAATAAAATTCATATTAAAAATCATCAGTTCTTACATCATTTCCTTTGAAGGATGTTTCTGAGTGTAAATTAAATTATTTGCCGTTCATGGACTATATATTTTAAATGTGAGATTTATTTCATGTGAGAACACATACAGTATATGTGTTTATAACAAGCTGATGGAGAGCACATTTACATACAGAGTAAAATCTGTGTAATCCAAGGGCCAAAAAAAGCCAACACATGCTCATTGGTAATATGTGCTCAGGGCTACATCTTTATGGAACCAAGAAATATTGGCTTAGGGGTACATATGGCTGCACTTTGTGTGTAAAATGAACACTTCCGGTGTGACTGGTTTTCTCAGTATCTCACCACAGACTTGGAAAGCAGAGCAGAGCAGACCAGGGTTCAAGTCCAGCGAAGCATAGTTCCAGAAATCAGGCAAAACAAAACCAGAAAAACAGTGTGATGGTATGCAGCCACAATGGCTTTTCACTTCTAGCTTGCTTTTTAAACACTGTAAGTTGGGTTAAGGAAAAGGGCTGGGCGGGATTGGCATAAATGTACACAGCAGCCTTTGGTGCATTTAGGAGTAATTGCACATATTTGAAAATGTGCCCCAGTAACATATTTGAGACTGTCAGAAATGTACTCTCATCTAACGAGAATTAGTTGGCATGTAGATGCAGTGTAACTCAAATTTAACACACAGACCATCAAAATAAACTGTAATCAAATCTCCAAGCACAGTTTGTAGCACTGATTGATCGGGTAGGGATCTACTTGTCCTATCACTTTCTGTACAAGAAAAAAAAACAAAGTAATGACTGTAGGTTGAAGGAAAGTGTACTCAAGTAAAAGTACGGATTTAGAACTAAAGTATTATTACTGACAAAGAAATGGATTCAATTACACTAATTTGAGTATTTGTAATTTGTTACTTTACACTACTGTAGAGAGGTAAGCAGCACATAGCAGTGTTATATCATTGTTCACTGCAGAAGCATGCAAGCAGTTTTTGACAAGCTCCAGTTCGCCTGGTCATGAACCGGCTCTGGTTCCATTTTGGTGTAAAGATGTGTCAGTGTACTCGGCTGACAAATTGGGACTAAATCATACAGAATTGCTCCCCGAAGGCAGAGGGCAAAGAAGAGAGGGAGGGAAAAGTCACTGGAGGCTTTTAAAGTGTCTCCGAAATCTTTGAAACAGTTCATTTGAAACTTGAGGGGAGCTTTACCATTCATGAGCGCTGACTCCAGAACCCTGTGGGTCACCTTGTCCACGATTGATGCTTGCTAAGCCAAATTCTGTCCCCCTGTGTAGACTGCATTTACACTCAATCGAAAATCCTTCCCATCTGCTTGACTTGGTAATGTCTGCTTGCCTGCTGGGGGGCTCAGAGCGTGAATACGATGAAAGATAATAGCATTGCGCAAGAGAAAGTCTGATAGCAGGCTCTGTGACTTCTTTGTACAACTGTTTTATGCAGTGTCACCGCACATAAAGGTCAAATTCATATTTTCATCCCTAAAAGAATAAGCAGATCATCGCTTAATGGTATTAAACATAGTCACATGTAATGGCGTAATCTGTCATGTGCAATGTGATAATTATTTTGATCCGTGACACTGAGCCGGAGGGATTTTTTGTGCCGTTGGTGTGTACAGGACTACCTGCTGTGGAATCGGCTGGGGGCGACGCTGGCTAATGGAGATCGCAGTGAGGAAGCAGTGGAGGCCTATACCAAAGCCCTGGAGCTCCAGCCTGGCTTCATCCGCTCACGTTACAACCTCGGCATCAGCTGCATTAACATGGGCGCTCACAGGTTTGTGATTAACACATGAGAAAAGTGTCATTCCCAACTTTTTGTTAAATATATAACATACTTTAATAATATAACACACCTTTCAAACAGAATCAAGCATCCAACAGAGCCACAGTATAAAATATAATATCCTTTTTAGTAGAGGTGTGAACCTACAGTGGTCTCACGGTTCGGTTTGGTCACGATTATCAAGCCATCAATCCAGTTCAATCCGATATTTCGGTGCATCACGTTGCATTGATGATTCTTTCCATACACCATACACCATATATATGAACTGGACCTTTAAAAGCTCAAGTACAAGCAACATGAGCATTTATAGCAAATAAACAAATGTAAATATCCCGCTCGCTTTATGAGCCCTGTTGAGTGAGTTCTTACACTCCTATGATTGGTCACACGTTCAACAGTAAGGGCTGCGATTGGCTCTAGCGTATTCATCACTCATCAGTGTTCACCGATGCTGTAACTTCAGTGCCAGTGAAAGACTATCCAGCAAACACACACGCAGTGAATTGTGCAGAGTTTCTGCATTTTTAAGTAGTTGCGGTGTTTTAATTACTTACGCTTGCCAGCGTTACCACTAATGATTCGGCTACTTTTCAGACCCCCCTTGCGACAAATTTTCAAAAAAGCGTCTAGCAACAAATCTAGTGACTTTTTTGCATGTTACTGGAGATTTGTATAGAATTTCATCTGTTCATATTGCACATTCCCTACTCTTCTCAAAGAGCTTCGGGCCGCCAGCCCCTCCCCCGCCTCAAAGCACTGACAGGCTGCCCAGTCAGTCCTCGTAAAGCAGTTTCTCCCACCTGCAGCCTGAGAGCAGATCACTCCTCTGCGTACCGACGGCAAATGATTTAGCACCGGCAGTGTGAAGGTATTTTCCTTGTGCAGTCAAACCGATCTGCCTCTTCTTTATTTTAGCAATTTAATTTGACCGTTTATTCTTTTCTTGAAACACAATTGCAGAAATTTTAGTGAGAATTTCAGAACTTGTCTGAGTTTATTACGTCTGAGAGATTACTGCAAATTCACTCCACATCGATACTGATATACTGTATTCAAACAGCAGTAAATTTATTAAATTGACATGCAAATAAAGCGTAGTGCAAATATAAATACCCCTTTTTTAACCATAGGCTGTTAAACAAGCAGAAATGGTAGAACATGATGATGTCAGTAGTATACAAATAACGTATGACGTAATCTAGCGACTTTTAGCAACTTTTCGGGCAGAGCTTAGCGCCTTTTCGTTGAAAATAGTTGGCAACAGTGGCGCTCGCCTCCCTTGCCATAGTAAGCTACTGTGACGTAGCACATATGAGATAAACTAAGGCAGTACATAATACCCGGTTAGGATCTATTACTGAACCAATATCGAATTGTTTATTTATTCATTATTTTTTTTTAAATGCTTTAATTATAAATAGCCTGGCTTTATTGCAAAACAGGCTCATTCTGAAAGCGTAGCCCTACAGTAGATACATTCCTTGAGATCTCAACTCATGTAGCCAGAGGTACATATGGATGCATTTTGACTTTAAACCGAATGCTACATTCATTTTCGCACTTACCAGCTGACTGCTTACCTTCGTATGAACAACTTTCCCTCTGTTACCAGTTTGTCCAGTTAGCTCACCTTGTATGTTGGTGACCTTGAGAAGCAGAGAGGAGTTGGCCATGATGATGTTCCAGAAAGCAGATATAAAAAAAAAACAGAAGCCAAAAAATAAAATAAACAAGTAAACAACAGAGTAAGAATGTGGTAAAACAGGGTAAAAATCAGGCAAGAGCTTTTCTTTTTCTGGATTGCTTTTTAAAACGGTCAGTTGGGTTTAGGGAAGTGGGTGGGCGGGTCAATCTGTGCTTCTGAAAACACCATTGGTTGGGTTTGGGGAAGGGGGAGGGTATCAGTCGATTGATTAGTCAGTAAGTCAGTCAGTCAACAGTCAGTCAACACCGGCCTCCTGTGAATTTATGCGAGAAGAACAGGCATGAATGGCAGTCGCGAGAGAATTTTGAGATCTAAAAAAAAAGCATACTCCAATATGTATGCTCCAACCAATGAATTGTTGTGACCAATCAAACAAGGCCTGGAGCATCCATACAGAAGTATTAATTCTGCAATGTACAGTAAGAGAAGAGTTTTGTTCTGATTAGTCTGTTTTTCACCTTTATTTTACACTCACTTGATTAACATGAGAGTGTAAACAATAGATTCTCACGGTATGCCATTTCTATGTACTGAAATCGCATTATACAGCTATGCCTATAGTCATACCTTTAAATTAGTCAAGAAGTGGAAAGATATGCTGGACGTTTCTGTACTTTCAGAAAAACCTTTTTATTTTTCATGTTGAACTTGCAGGGAGGCAGCCAGTAATTTCCTGACGGCCCTTGGTCTGCAGAGGAAGAGCAGAAGTCGTCAGCTTTCCCACCAGGTGATGTCTGGGAACATCTGGGCAGCGCTGCGGATCGCTCTCTCCATGCTGGACCAGCCGGAGCTCTTTCAAGCTGCTAACATCGGAGACCTGGATTTACTAATGAAAGCTTTTAACCTGGACATGTGAGAGAGGAAACCCTTTAAACATGGCCAACATCCAAAGTCCTTTATGAGACCAACTTTGTCAAAAAGCAACTTTATTTCTTTTCTTTTTTCCGCAGAGCACCTTTACATTCCTGAGAACTGAGTGCTGGATGGTACTATTTTAATAGATTTGCACATCAGTTTAAGATTAAGAGCACAACGCCGGGTGAAGATTGTACAAGTATGCCTTAGAGAAAATATCAGCTAGTCCTGCTACAGAAGAAAATCTGTTTTGACTTGTAATTCTACGACTGATGAGACGAACGCGGACTATAAATGCGCAAGAACAAAACTCCAGATCAGTGACTTGATTAGACGTACTGTATTACGTAGACTTCATGCATTGGTTGAATTGCACTCTTTATTTGAGATGGCGAGGTTGTTTTATTAATTTGTTTATTTTTGGGATTTTGGTGGCACTTGGTTGAACCCTGGACACTCCTCGCCTGATCTCTGCTGCATCTCCCCCTTTATTTCCTGGAGCTTGCAGACCAGATTTTAAAAAGCCTTACTTATTGTGCATGTAAAGTAAGTTACTGAGATGATACCAGATAAAAGCCATTCCTTGCCATACTTTGACCTCTTGATAAAACTGAAACCGAAGTCTACGTTTCATCAAGGTCTTTTTTTTTTTGTTTGTTTGTAAAACATACCACATCTTTGAAGTGTAGTAGGCCTACTGATTATTTTTCAGAATTCAGTGCAGGGAATTCACATATACTGCCCCGCAATATCAATCTAGATTTGACAGGAAAACAAGTGTCTTTTGTATTTTTGAAAAAAAATGCTGCCCAAAATCTAAGCCAAATATGTGTGATTATGACCCCCGGGTTTCACAAACAAGGTTTAAGGCTAGTCAAGATTCAGTTGCATGTTTGACCTGTCTCAACTCAAAATAACTTGCAGTGAGATGTCTTAAAATACATCAGTGTCATTTTTTTCTCCAAGTGCAAACCGTTTATATATTTTTCTAAGGCCATTTTATTAAATTTGGCTTAAATAGCCTAATTTAACCAAGGCCTAGTCCTGGCTTAATCCAAGCCCTGTTTGTGAAACTGGGCCTAAGAGTTTTATACCCTGATGCTGCCATTGTTGCTCATTTATGCTGCCTTCATGTGCTATCAAATTTAGTATAAATATGACAGAATTGTACATGAAAAGCCTCTAAAGCTGCATTCATATGGAAGCTTGCTTTCGCCACAAATTTCAGACTTTATTCCTACTTACGCAATCTTGACATTCTGTGCAAACTGTATAAATTAGGAGTAAGATAAACCACATGAACTTCACATGTTAAAATGAGAAACATTAAACGTGGTTTCTAATATTTTTTTCTTGGGGAACCTTTTGTGATTCCATATGAACACATGAATCATATTGACCTGGCAAATATGGCAAGCTGTTATAACATTTAACCCTTAAAAAAGGTGTGTTTTCATGGTAATAATTCTTATTTTTCAGCTACTGTTTATTTAATTAAGTACCAATATTAATTCACTAGCTAGTGCTTATCTTTAGGTACTAGTTTTTATGTGTTACATACTAATACTTAAAATATTAGTGTCTACTACATACTATATTATACTACACACCTTACAAATGACTAATATTATCTAGTATAAAAAGTATTTGAATTAAATGTAACATTTAATTATTAAGTAGAAATATCAAATGAATACTTATTACAAAATATCTTTGAATATTAGTCAGTATTAGATTATATCCAGAGGAGAATAGTTCATAACCTAACACTATCTAATGAATAAGCAGTACCGATGCATTAAGTCATATTTTTATAAAAAAGAATGATATAATTGAAAGAATTTAATGTTATATCATCTTGCCATAAGGCATCTTCCATGATTCCTAATTTTATATGACAACATGACTTCAATTTCAATTTCATTTACACTTTATTTTAAAGAAACACTCCACTTTTAAGGGTGAAAAAATAGGCTCATTTTACAAATTTAACCGAGTTAAACCATCTATTTGGCCTATGTTCAGATCCGGCAGGAGCACTTTTAGCTTAGCATATAAGCAACGCAAGTTTATTTATACAGGGTCTGTGCAGGATCCTAAGGGTAATTTCAAAACCTTTTTAAGACCTTTTAAAGACATTCTCAGAATATTTTAAGACCTCATCGTCACTTCAAGTTCCAATCAGTATCACACCTTAACTTAATAAACAGTTGTTAATAAACAGTTGTAGTTAAATAAATCAAAGGAGCACAACCATGCAACAGAGAAAGATAAGCTTGGAAGAAACAAAGCTTGAAAGATTAAATCACACGGTTGTTTCAAGCAACAGGCTTCAGCCACTGTTTAAATTCGTCTTTCTCCAACCAGGAGTACACAAACTTACATTTTCTCATTTTGCCATCTTTTTAACTGGCTTCACATCACCTCCCCACATTTGTCGCAAAATTACGTGACATCACCCGAAAAGAGGAGCTTGGCCGCACGTGGCCCGGCCCGATCCAATCGCATGGATCGAGCACATTGTTTTTAATATTACGAGGAAAATCAATAAATTTATGCTTTTTTGGAGTCAAACACTTTGTACAACGCTTGAACAAAATTTAAGACCTCTTAAAAACGCGATTAAGAATTTTTATACCTTTTAAGGGCCTTCATTTTCTCATAATTGATTTATTAACTTTTAATACTTTTTAAGACCCTGTCAAAGGACATTTCATACATGATAGTAATTCAAAGTGCTTTAAATAAACAAGATTAAATGACACATAAAATACAACATCTATAAGATATAAAAATAAAATAAAAATTATTCATTCATTCATTCGTTTTCCTTTGCCTTAGTCCTATATTTTTTAGGGATCACCACAACAAAATGAACTGCCAACTATTCCAGCATATGTTTTTTGCAGCAGATCATAGATAGAAATTATTAAAAACAGGTTTAAAAAAAAAAGAAAGCTTACTGTGCTGTAAATCACTCAATCGGTTTAGAGTTTATCTAAATCAGATTAGAAAATAACAATTCTTTTACTAAAAAATTATTTTTTTAATTATTTCAAATCCAGGGAGCATGGTATAATTGCCTTAATATCATTGCGCCTACTGCAGCCATAGTATGACATCAAAGTTCCTTGATTATTATGCTGAAATGAAAGTATAGTTAGCCATGTATTAATCATTTTCCATCAGTCTTAGTACACGGTGTAACTACAGAAGAGTCACGTTTTATAAATTATTTTTTTTTAAAAAAGAGTTTGTTTGAAGCGAGATGCTAATGGTCTAATCCGATTCAATGATTTATGCTAAGCTATGCTAAACGTGCTCCTGCCAAACCTGGAGATTCGGCTGAAAGGATTCAAAAAAAGTAAAACTCAACCGTTTAACTCTTATTTGAAAATAAAAAGGTGGAGTGTTACTTTAAGATGTCCTTGTTTCAGTGTAACTACTACCGAGTAATATTGATTACATGTACTTACTGTGGTTAGAATCAGGATGAGAGTTAGTTCTATGGTTAGTTGCATGCAATTATGCATTTATGAATTATGTAATTATGAATTGTAATTAACATAGTAAGTGCATAGAACACGTAACAAGGGCAACTTTAAAATAAAGTGTTCCTGAAATTACCCATTGCAAGTGAAGGCAGCGTTACTATAGTTGATCTCTAGCTTGCATGACTTTTCATTTTGCTCATTAGCGTGAACATGCAAGTGCTTAATGTTGCTTGTGCGCCTCACAAAAAGTCAGTACATAGGCTAATGATTTTAAAATGCTATGCAAAACCTATTTTTCCCCTTCATGCAGCTGGAAGTAGAAGAAAAGCCTGAAGCACCAGAAAAGCTTACCTGCATTGTGACTTTTTGGTGTAAACTTGTGGGTAGAGCGTAGAAAATCTGCACTTTCAGATCAAGTCTGTTTAACTTTACGTATTAAGTATCTTACTTCGAACGTCTTTGTGATTCAGCCCAGCTTTCATTTGTAGCGTCATTATTCCCTCACTAACTGCAAGAGTTGATCTCCAATATTTATGAAAAGAGCATGCAAAGCAGTTCAAGCATCCATTTTCAAGTGTTATTAATTTATGAATTGTTGTTCCATTTATTTATTATGTATTTCTTACTTCTTCTGTATCTGAAACTCTTTGAAAAGTCCTGTATATGCTATCAATACAGTTAGAACAGGCTTGTGCTTTGTAGCTGAATGTTACAGTAGACACTGTAGATTCTCTCATGCCTGAGGCCAAACCTCCCTTTTCTAGAACTTTGTACAATCTCAGGTGTGATTGTCTAGATGAATTCTTGCTCCAGAAAAACTCCTGATGTATGACCGCATGCCGAATATACTTATTTTTTTGAATGCTGTAGAGGTATTTATATGCATGAACTTGACATGCCTATTTTAATCTATACCCTTCATTTCTATGACTTATATAGCACTGTAACCACAATATTTTGCATTTCAAAATATATATATATTGATCTGAAGAATATACGGCATTACCGTAAAATATTCCGAAATTAAAAGCGGTTTTTGCAATGCAGTGGGTACAAATCTTAACAAGACGTTCTTTGTAGTCATATATCAATATTGCAACAGCCAGATTTACTAAAGTCTTTAGAATTAGAGACTGGAAAATACATCAGCATTCAGAGCTGCGTTTCTGAATTTCTTCTTCTGAAACATTCTGAATGTTTGCCAAAGGCTTTAATAACTCTGGCACTGTATTTAAAGGGTAGATGCATATACAAAAGTTATCTTTTAAAATAAAAGATTGTTATAAGACTTTTGCATGTCTGGTTTGATGTCTTCAATCTTACTTTTATGCCAAAAATCATTAAAATAGTAAGTAAAGATCATATTCCTTGAAGATGCACTGTAACCAATTATATGTCAAGAAGTCATGGCACAAATGTTTATGTTCATTCATTTATTTTATTTTCAGCCTAATCCCTTTATTAATCAGGAGTCGCCACAGCGGAATAAACAGCCAACTTGTTCAGCGTATGTTTTACGCAGTGGATGCCCTTCCAGCCGCAACCCAGCACTGGGAAACACCCATACACTCTTGCATTTAAACACATACATTACGGCCAATGTAGCTTATTCAATTCACCTATACCACATGTTTTTGGACTGTGGGGGAAACCGACGTTTATATGTTGCTCTAATTTATTAGAATCAGGTTTTGAAAAGTTTAACCTAATATTTGAGTCAGTTTGATGTAAGTTGAGACGACAAGAACATTTTGTTTAACTCAAAAAATTTAAACAGTAAGATTATTTACAGTGTGTCAAACATTTCTTATCACAAAATAATTTCTTATTGTAAATATATATCAAAACTTTTTGATTAGTAACAGGGACGGGCAAAAAAATACATTCAAATGTATTTTAAAATAAAATTACACCAATTTTAAGTGTATCAAAATAAACTACAAAACACAGCAGCCATAAATGTATCGAAATAAAATACTGTGCTTTTGTATTTTAAAAATAGTACCTATTTGATCAATCCCTTCATCATTAAACTGACTCAGTGAAGTAAACAACTTGGCTCTGACACTTTTTCACTTAAAGGGGAAGTTGTGGCCTAATGGTTAGTGAGTTGGAGTTGTAACACAAAGGTAACTTGTGTTTCAATTTGAGTTTAGTGTAAATTTTGCAAAAATTTCATACAAAACATTCTGTCTTGAAGATGACATCCTACAGTTTAAACCATTTAATGCCCAATGTGTGGCCAGTAAAATTGGCATCATCTCTATTCAATTATTATGAACCCTTTTCACAAGACTCGCTTATGACACGTTTAACAGTCAGCATAATCTTAAATGCTTGAATATTTTTAATATTTAGATTTTTTTTAAGCGTATGAACATTTATATGCATTTATATGTGAATTATATCATCTTTACATAAAATTACAAAAAACGGATTACCTCTTGTGTGAGCTGTTTCTAATGCAGCGTCTATGGGGCTGAGAGTAAATTTGACGTTAATCTCTTCTCTGGCTGCCATCGTCAATCTCACACAATTTATTTCCTTTTTCTGAAAGTCTTTATAACGACATTCTGGAGTTTTTCTTTTTTTATTTCAGCAAAATAGGATTGTAAAAAAAAAATTGTTGTACTCTTACATTTACTGCGCTCTAAGTTTCCCCAATCATGATGACTTCTGCTACTGAGATACCTGGAAATGTGGAAAGGGTCTTTTCAACCTATTAACAATATTAGATTTTAAAAAGGTGATAGGCCTACATATAGAGTTCACTGTCATTTTTTGTTCACAAAAAATTTTAATAAATCCATATTTTTGCAATTAATCTCTTCTATTCTCAATGAAAAAACATGATTTCTTAAAAGTACCAAAAACCCTACAAAATAAAAATATGAAGTGTCAAAATTAGAATTTTTTTTTTTTAATATTTGCAAATAAACTCATCATATATATCCTGCTGCTGCTGTGTTACCGGAGTTTTCAGTCTGATCTCACAAGAAAGTGTAAGTATTTTACGTTTTGCCAGTTTAGTGGCTAATTCGAGTTCAGTCGTACGAAATTGTACAATTTTAAAAAGGGGGCGTGGCACCAAATCCCACCCCTAAATCAACCTGTCATTGGGGGATAAGCAAATCGTACTAATTTGTATGAATCAGATCGTACAAATTCATACGAATTAGCCACTAAATCAAAAAGTTACGGATTGCCGTGAGATTGTGTTGGAGTTTTTGACCTGTCCAGACTGGATTATTATAAAATATTTGTGTTTCATATATTGTGAAATTGGGACATCTTTAGGCTGACAGCTCTCGTCTTCATTAACTAAACAGCGCACCAGCAGATATCAGACACAAGCATTTGTCTGTTACTTTTCTTTAAGCATAATTTCTATCCATACTCCAAGCATTGACCACCTTTTTTAAAATAAAAAAAAATTCTGTTCTGATCATAAGCTTAAGCAAATATTTGAGGAAGACCAGAGACCTTGTTTTTATGATGTCATCATATACTGTAGACTGCAAAGTATTTTACAGTAAAAGACTATACACCAAAGTATTTTGATACAAAATATGAAGCCATTTTCCTACATCCTATCAAATACAAATGACTATTTTGTATTTGCAGAACTTATCTGAAATACATGTATCATAAATACTGCCAATTCCTGATTAGTAATATGCATTTTCTAATTTTCTAATACAAGGGTGTAGAATAGGCACGGACGGAGGGACCCACACAGACCGCAGGTTGAGCGCCCCCTGTTAGTCTACAAACACCACTTCCAACAGCAACCTTGCTTTCCCATGTGATCTCCCATCCAAATACTGATCAGGCGCAGCCCTGATTAGCTTCAGTGGGTGACCAAGTAAGAGTTGCAGTGAGCTAGTTGCCGAATGTCCATACTAATAGCTTGATTGACTTCAAAAGAAAATAATGCTCCGTCAACACTTACTACCCTACTACTTAAAGGGTTAAAGTCAAGCTAGCTATGAGTTCAATATAATACTATTAACCAAGGCTGTGCAATTAATTGAAATTCAGTTTCGATTTTGGCCTCCATGATTATGAAAAATAATAATCGGAATTAAAACAGTTCAATTTTGTTACACACCTCTCTAAACTTCTCTTCATTCATACCTCCTCGAAGCCAGATTGCAGTAAAATCATGTAAATTAGCTTTTGCAGTATGGGACGTCAGTCGTTAATTGTTATAGGTATTATTAACTGTTTATATTTTTAAGCAATTTATTCATTTCGTTTTTTTAAAGCTCAATGCGCAATGCATGAGCTTTAGGGATGTATTTCCCCACCAATATCAAGAGCAAATCTACACCCTTGTTCTATTATTTGTAAAATATGCCACAAATCTTAACAAACCAAAAAGCAATGAAAAGCTTATTCATTCTGTTTGTACACTGCAAATTGCTGTAAAATGCACAATTTTATTTGGCGGTAATACTGTCAAATGTGTAAGTGCACTTTAAATTGCCAATTAAGTTTTAGCTGTAGTTTTATAGTACAGTTGTAAGTGCGCTTGTAAATCGTTAACAGCACTAGTTCAAAACTGCCAGTAATACTGTAAATTTTACAGCATTTTTACTGTGTAATTTGGCTTTTTCCCCTGTTGAATCCAAATGGTCTCTTAAATGTTTTTGAAACTATAAAAATGCCACAGGTGAACAATTGTGGACTTTATTGAACAATCCAAACAATATGAGTCACAAGTATGTTTGAACAAATTTTGTATGAAGATTCCCACATTTGCCATGATTATGTGTTTCTAAACAATATATAGATCAGAAATCCATTTAAAAAAAAATTATAACAAACAAGTGGGCAAATTTGTATAGTAGCTACAGAACTGGCACACTTTTTTTTTTGCAAAAAATAAAATAAAAATAAAAACGTACCACATGACCTTCAGTTCCATGAAAAACAGAACCCGCTAAAGATCCATAAAAATTGCAAAATGTCAACTGACTAACCTCCGAGTTTAGTGCACTTTCTGAAAAAGGCATATTTGAGAAAGGTGAGGTAAAAGCATCCACTTTCACAACTAATATTGGAAACAAAAAGAGATCAGAAAGAAAAATCGAGAAAATAAAGAGGAAAAAGGGTATGAATAGTCATTTAAAGTAAGAAAGAGAAGGAGAGAAAGAGTGAGAGGACCTCGGATGGATACAAAGACACTGAACTCCCAACATAACAGGTAGTGCACAATAGAAAGAAACATGACAGGGTACAATCTACAACGTCATGTGCAACATCCAGTTGAAAAGAATTAAGATGAACAAGCTCCACCTCAGCCTGAGCGAGAACATGATGTAAAATGTTTAAACTTTAATTCAGCCCTAAACTTCACACTCAAGCTCAAGGCATTATAAAACCTTTAAAAAGTTACTTGCCGAGAACACATTCAGGTTTTATCTGAAAAATAAAGGGTTTGAATGATGAAGGCAGAGCCAGGTTTGTCCGATATGTCATAAAGCTTGAGATTTGGTAAAACTGAGCACCAGTACATACACGTATCTGAGATCGTTTTATGTATGACCCTGCATATACTTCTGAACTACGCAGTAAGTCATTACATATTGCTTAGGTACAGGATAACAAATAGGTTTACATTCTTTAAGACTGGATGATTTTAAAGCATCACAGCCTTTAAACTGTAACATGAGCAAAGTAAAGCACTTGAACATGATTATGTGATATCAATGCATTTTCAGGTCAGCTATCATAGACTGACTGAAAGTTGTTATTGAATCTTAAATTGAATGTGATCATATTGCAAATAAAAAAGTCTTTTAAAGGATTGGAAAATAATGGCATGTGCACGGATCAAATCCGATTTTTAGAATAAATATCTAATAGCAAAACCGTGGACAACAGTCCAATAGTTCAGTAGACATGACTGTAAAAAAGTTTTTTTGTATGTGAATTTGTCAGATTATGCTACAGATTGATGGCAGTTACATCAAAAATCCTCTAAATATGAAAAAAAAAAAATTATGTTTGGGTTTTCAAATACACATGAAATGAACTCAATGAGTACAATAGTAACATTAAAGCCATGCCAATAAATGAAGCTGTGTTCTTCAATTATAATCAAAAACACTAAAGGGATATTCACCCAAACATTAATAAACATCTGTATGTGGCATTTTTTTCTTCTTCAGCAGAACATTAACAACTTTTTTTTTTAGCTGACACTGATCCTTGGTGAAAAATAAAAATTTAACAGCTACCAGAGCTTTGAGAGTCCGAATAAAATACACAGTCAAAACTAACTCATACCCGTGGCTCCTGATATCGAGTCAAGGAGTCCATTTGAAGCAAAATGACTAGTCTTGGCAAGCTTTTTTTATTTCACTTTAAATTCACAACCTCAGCAAAACAGTCCTGAGCACATTCACCTTAGTCTGTAGTTTGAGCTTCCTACAGTGGCCATGGATTCATAAAAATGGATCATTTCATATCATAAGATGCCAATGTACCGTCAGAAGACATGTACCATTTTTTTTTTTTTTTGCCTGTATACATAATATATAAATATATCTTTCTTTTTTATTTCCAAGTCCATTGACTTGAATTTTATAAATCACCAAGGACCAAGAACAAATCTTTAGGATCCACTAAAGAAAAGACTATCCTACTTTACCTCTTTAATGACCTATTAATCTAAGTAAATTAACAGCAAGTTTTAATTTTGGGTGTACTGTCCATTTAAAGTTCACTTCTGCCAAAAGTTATAGAAACTGGACAAACATTTGCTGTTGGGGAGAAGACACTTGAAATATACTGTAAATTCAAATAAAGAATCAGTCCATGATGACACAATACGGACCGATCTGAATGCCAGCAAACTAAGACCAACCAAATAATGGCTATTATCTAATATTTTACCATACATGCCGGCAATAACAATGCTTTAGGTTTTTAAAAACCTTATTTGAAATCCATTCTGTTTTTTAGACATTAAATGAATTACAATTTAAGTACATTCTGCTGAAATGGCAGTAATATTTGCAAATGCAGGCACACGTTATATTTAAAAAAAATGTATGTATTGAAAATACTGGCACAGGAGCTTAAAGTATTTGAAGAGAAATATAACAAATAATCTGAGAATATATTAGGAAAATAATCTGCATACCTAAAATTGCACGCACCCCACTGTACCTTTAAAGCAGATGCAAGACGAACGGATAAACAAAAGTCAGACAGACAACACACACAAACACACATGCACACGGTTTCCCGCTGGAGCGCTGCTGTGGTTTGCGCCTCTGTGCGGGTTTTGGCAGGGACTGTGAGGTTCCTCTCTCCTTCTCACAGGTGTAAATGCTTTGCTAGTTTCCAGCAGTGTCAGTGGAGCTTCACACACACCTCTCTGGCCGAACGGCTGTGCATATGGTTTTGAAGGTCCAGGTTTAGCAGCTTGACAGGCGCCGGTAAAAGTACATGTAGCCCAAGTCTTTAGGAGGCCTCTCTGACAAACATACTTTATGGTCATTGTAAATCAGCCATCTAGGAAAGTTGAAAAAAAAATGAAAATCAAATTTTGAGTTTAATGTATTTACACTTATTTACATATTTATATTAATAGTTATTTACTACATTTGTTCTTCTTTCCCCATTTAAAATGCTTTTATTGCGACATTATTAAACATTTTTTTTAAAATGACATTTATTTTAATTTTTTACATTTATAGTCATTCTTTCTAAAATTATATTCATCTTTTTGGATTCAAAAACATACATTATTTAGAGAAATAATTAATTTTTTTCTTAAATTAACTTTCAATTTCATTATTGTTTATATAATGTAATTTCAAATTTAATGTTACATGTTACAATAAGTTTAAAGGTCACTTGAAATGCTTTTAAATGTGCATTTTTATTTAATGTTAGACAATCTCAACTGAAACTAAATACAGCCCCTCCCCTTTTTTAAAAGCAGCCAATAGCATTTCCTTTAAATAACAACTCAGTCAAAGCTGTTGAGCTCAAGCACCTCAGTATATAGTAGTTCTGAGTCTGCTCTGCTTAAAAACACAGCTTCTGCATAATTTAAATGAGTTCAATACATTTTGTGGTCCTTGCCTACTTGGGCACATGGGCTTTATTCACCCCAAAGAGAATCCTATACACTGTCTGTATCCTTATATATTACTATTCACCAATTAAAAATGGACACAGTGGTCAACAGATTTAATTTAGAATCGCCTAGCTTAAAACTATTTTCTCCCTCTGAGCTTGCTGTAGACAGGCAATTACAACATCGCATTTCAAAATGACAAAAAAAAGAAGTTCTGATCAACAATAATAATAATAAATGTTTATTATTTTCTTTCATATAACAGTTCTGTCTGGTTCTCTATTCTGATTGGCTGATAGCCATGTAATATTCTGCAATAACAGCACTCGTACCACATCTTCACTGTTGTGTTTTATTCCCCCACATAGAGAGACAGCAGATCAATAACCTCACTACAGTTTGACAAATACTGCAGCTGTTGGGCAACATATTGTATTGTTTAGATTGCAACTATCTACTTCCGGGGAAGAGCGGTTCCAGAAATTAGGTAAGACAAAAACAACAGGGTGAACAACAGGGTGGGAATGTGTTAAAATACGAAAACGTGGTAAAAGTAAGATGAGGGCTTTTCTTTTTTCTGGACGGCTTTTGTAAACCGTCGGTTGGGTTTAGGGAAAGTAAGTGGGCGAGCGTCAATCGGTAAAATTGGCTGAGCTTAGGGAAGGAGGAGGGTCAATCATTCAGTTATTCAGTCTGTCGACAGTGGCCTCTGGTGGGTTTAAGCGAGAACAGCACGGGCGCGAATGTCACTCGCAAGAGACATTTTAGATCCGGATTCGCGAAAACAAAAACTGCAAAAAAAACGTACCTCCCGAGATGTATTTTGCGGTCTCTAGAAACATCCACGGGACTATGTTTTCAGAATGAGCCTGGGTTGGATACTAACACCTAAAAAAATTCCATTTTGATTTAATTAGTTTTTTCTTTGCTACTTCATGGCAGTTCTGTTTTATATCATCTGAATGTTGTTTTTAGTGTCCCTGTTACAATTTAGTTATGGATTTAAATATAGAGCATTATTAATTAATAACTACACTCTCACTACACTAATGAATATTAAGAACATTTCAACTTTTGAAAAACATTTTTATTTATACATTTTCTAGCATACATCTTCACTTGCTGTTGACAGGCACAAATCACTTGTTGTTTTAAATGGTTTTCTGCAATCAATCTGTCCGAAATCTGAATGTAACCAATAACAGCCTGATTGCAAATAAAAAACACACATTGTAATCAGCATACCTGCCCTCTTTTTTGATATGACACACATAATGGCCAGACATTGTGGATGTTCCCATGTGACTGATGAAAGCAAACAGTTCGTAACCTTGGAGAAAGAAAAGAAACCAACATCAGAAATTAAATATGTTTCCACACAATGGCTTTTCTTGTTTTTGTTATATTTATGAATTCAATAGTTATAACAAAAAAAAGCTGCAGTAGTTTTCTAGATGAAGCAACTTTTTAGTATGAATAATTCACACCAGGGTAGGGTTGCACCAGCTGTTCGTAAGTTCTTTCTTAAACTACAATGTAAAGTCCACACTAGGGGCTTAGTAACTATTAGCTAGTTCGTAACTAAATTTGTTCTCACTTTGGTTGCACCATATGTTCTTAGGGCAAACCATAGTTAGTAGGTCGTAAGCTTTCCGTAAAGTCATGTGTGGTCGCATTGCATGAAGTAATGTACAATAAAAAGCATTTACTGTACATCATCAAACTGCTTTAAAATTCTGCAACTAATGCATCTATATATAACTTTCTTATGCAAATTAAATGATAAATGACATTTTTATAGTACATCACATAACAGTCAGTCACTAATAACAGATGATTCACATATACGTATGCATCGTGAGCTGTGAATGCTTGCGAAATACACAGGAAGTTATCAAAACATTAAAAAAAAATTTATATCCTACAAGTAGGCCAAAGAAAAAAGAGCAGGGAGAATAACTCAGTCATGAAGAAATTCTCGTTTTAATTGATGGATAAAGTTAACACAAAACACTCCTTGAAAGAAAATAAACTCTTTGTTCACAAACAGAAACAAAAGTGAGATTTGGGAGGATAGGAAGGCTGTGAGTAAAGGGAGATCAGGGAGCTCCTCAATGAAAATAATCTCGCTGTCATCTCTTTTCTGCCGTTATTCATGGGGGGGACTGTAAATATTTAGTTGAAATGTAGCGTTATGTTTAAACTACTGTAAGTTCAGTGGTGCAACACAAAAATACTTAGTAGTGCGTAAATTGTAACTTAGTGTCCCTTTAAGTGACAACTAGCCTATGTTTTAACTTGTGCACTGCTGGTGCATCCGACCCCAGTTTCTTAGAAAAAAAAGACAATCTGGGTCACTTGAGCAAATGTGATAAAAACAGTGTTAAGGGATAGCTAACCTAAAATATAAAATAATGTCATTATTCTCCTTCAAGTTGTTTCATACTGTTTTTTCTTCTGTTTGATGCAAAAGATTACATTTTAAAGAATGTCTGAAACCTGTAGTCAATTATTTTTTTTTCCCTACTATTGAAGTCAGTGGCTCAGTTAAATGGTAAACGTTCATCTTTGGGTGAACTGTTCCTTTAAAGGGATGGTCTGTCAAAATTTATTCAATATTGTTTCAAATCTTTAAATCAAGCTCTGCAACCATTCATTTTCATGGTATTTGTTTTTCCTACAAAGAAAGTCAATGGTTACAGGTTTCCAGCATTCTTCAAAATATCTTCTTTTGTTCAACAGAAGAAAGAAACTCATAAAGGTTTGGAACCAGTTGATTTTAGCCCCTTTCACACAGTGATACCGGTAAATTTCGGTAAAATTTCCGGAATGACTTTACCGGTAAATTTAAAATAGCGCTGATCACAGGCATAGACGTTACGGAATTTTCCGGAAAAGACCATTCACACATTCATTCCAAAATACTGGTGAATTATGACATTGTTAACCAGAAATGTCATAACCAGCTAACCAGGTAAATGTGTCTGGAAAAATATTCAAAGGCTTTTATTTTCAGAAACCGTGTGGACGTGAATGCATCTGAATGTTCTGATTGGCTGAAGCAGATGTCACACGTCAGCGCATTCTAGATATGAACGCGCTCTTTCCGGCAATCTTCCATCTGCGTTCACTTAGCGCATCATTCTAGCAAATTACCAGTAATGTTACAACTTCTCTTTCTGGACAATAGCCAATTTCCCGGTATTTTCAAAAAGGGCCTGTTTACACTTACAGACCTTTCCGGCAAAATTGCCGGTAATTTTCCAGAGAGGTCTGTATGTGTGAAAGGTTATATCGACTAAATAGTTTGTAATCATTCATCTTTGGGTGAAATATGCCTTAAAGGCAATATTTAACAAAAAACAACCTTTCTGAAACTAGTGCATGATTTTTTTTAGTTTTAATTTTTTTACTGGTTTCGGTGTGAATTACAAAAACAACGCTGTAAAAAAAATTTGTGATGTAACTACAGGATTATATGCGCACAGACGTGTGCTGTTTCTTTACAAAGTGGCATCACCATCTACTGGCCTGGCATGCATGATATAGCATTTTTAGTCATGGGTATCATTTTGACCATTGTTGTGTGTGTAAAAAGTGTAATAATGAAACACATTTTTAGGTTGCTGTGTAAACATAACTTCCATTTAAGTTGTTTCAAATGTTAGTACAAGCTAATTTTGCAACTTGGAAACATAGCTAATATGTAAAAACACCGTCAGTATATGTTTGCAGGATTCAGCATTCAGTGAGCACTTACGGCCGGGTCCGTCTCTGACTCGAGGGCTAGACAGATCCTGATCTGGAGACAGTGAGGAGTCAGTGTGGGCGTTGGCGTTTGAGAAGCTGTTATCATTCGGCTCTGTGTCTGCTGTGTCTGACATAGCTTCACTTTCATCCTCACAGTCTGGGTGTGTGAAAATCCAGTCAAGAGCTCGTTCCAAGTTGTTGTTCTGTTACCAGATAAGAAGAAGAAGAAAACCACATTTAAAGACTCATCAAGACTAAATATGGAATCATTATACTGTACTTCATTGTTACCACTGCATCTAAAAAAACAGTATTAGTGCTAGAGTGGTTGAGAACTTTATAAACGGTCCATTATTTATAGGTTATTAACAGCCTAACTGGACAAAAAAGCATGTCAAGCGGTAATTTTACAAAAAAACATACTGAACACCAAAATTATATCCTCAGGCAGAGAGCCGTTTTTAAATTGCTCAGACCAGTCAAAAGTCCTTGATTTAACTGAGGTCATTCTAGCGTGGTCAAAAGACCCATTTAGGCATAGGCACTAATCTGAAATAGCGCCGTGATTCACTGCAAATGCCAGCACTGAAAGCAAATGTGGCCTGACGCCCTCGTCTTTTCCTGGACAAATGTGAACGACGATGGTTGAAGACGTGCACTTGTTACTGTGCTATTATTGGCTGCTTGAGAGGCTATTTTTAAACACACACATGAACAGACATGAAAAACACAAATGCTTGACTTAAAAAAAACTATGTAAAAAATATTCAAGATAAAGCAGGTTATACTTTTAAGAAGAGTTTTCAAGAAGATCTGAAAGGTTAGACAGAGTGTACAGTTCAAGCACATACATACATCTTCACTTTATATAAAGATATATTTATATATATATATATATATATATATATATATATATATAGTGCTCAGCATAATTAAATAAACAACATTTTAAAAATATATTTAATATTTTTGTCAATTTCTCAGTGAATATAAGCAATGTATTTTGGTGCATTTAAACAAAACAGATTTATTAAACAGACATATTTATTAAAATAATATTTTTGCCACCAATCATATTTAGAATTCAAGCAAAATATTGCTAAACAAAAGTACAACCTACGAAAAACTTCAACTAAATTTTTCCATTTTTTTGCTTCCCTTGATTTTTCCTCTTTTTTAAATTTGTATTTAATATTTTTCTATGACATAAATTTGGCTGTACTCATTTTTGAACCATTATCGTAAGTTAATTTGTTAAGCTGCAGATTTGGCTTCAGTACTGATTATTCTATAGCATATCCACAAATATAATAGCTTCCTAATAAAAATATGAATATAAAAGATAGATTTTTGAGGGGTGTAATTATATATGCTGAGTATATATACCTCTATTTAGGTCAAAATATATTCATGTGGGTCAAAGAAGTTAAATTTACAGAAGTGATATTATATACATAAACATTGAATATGACTATCTAAAGAAATGTTAGTGTTTGTGTGAATAAAATCTAGGTGAAATAGTGCTCCAACTTCATTCAGATAAACGCCTATTCTGACTTGTAGTTAAAATAAATAAGAATAAAATAGCAAACAAACAAACACAGTAAAAGATGTTTTTAAATATCTAATCATATGGATCTTGTTCTAAATATGAATGATTTTTTATATACTGTAAACTATTCAGTAATTCACTGTTAAATTGAATTTTATTGTACTATTTTAATATGCAGTTCATCAGGATTTTTGTTTAAAAGACAGCAGAAGAACAACATTTAATTATCATTGTTTTCTAATTTTATGAATATCGTTACTGTCACTTTAAATCAATGCATTGTGCTTAAAAACTATATACAGCCAACACAAGTACATTTTGATTGAATAACAGAACAAAATCCAAATCAAGAGCTTAAAGTTAATGTAAATCACATTTACTGTAGAAAAGTATGAACTTATAAACATCAATTATTATATGAAGGTATAGCCAAGTAGGCAATACTCAAATATTAGCCAAGTAGTTAAACAGACAAGATGGCTTTTCCTGTCTCCCATACTTTGTCAATGATCAACAACCGACAAAACTGACCCTGACATGCTGGGACATGTTCAGCATCTGTATAACATGACAGTGTGATAATTATATTCCTCCATATAAATCAAGTCTAAATATGTCCAGCGTGTAACAGTGGCCCAAAAAAGTATTTGACGAATTATAAAAATGCTGCTGTTTATTCCTTGTACTTTATGCAGTACTGTGTTTATTGCATTCTTAAATTTCAACATGGTTTAAAAGAGCTTATAATTCCCATGTGGGGGAAAAAAGAATGGGTAACAAAGGCGTGCGACAGTAAGCTACAGCAAGTGAATGGTTAGATGCACAAGGTAGACGCCACCTTTCGCTTTTTGTGTTTCCTCTAATAAGGGAGCATATTTAGTGGCGTCAAATATGCTGAAAATAGTTTCTCTTTCACATTTTTATTTTTAATTAGCAAGCTTAGAGGGGTCTTGGGTTCTAGATTATTGTGGTTTTTGGTTTTGTTCAATTCTTTGCTTTGGCGCCACTAGTTTCTTTTTTCTTTTTCTTTTGCAACATTGTAAATAGCTTACGCACATTTGATGGCTTTATTATTATTAACATCACAGTCACACATGCACCATGACCAATTTAGTTTATTCATTTCAACTATCACATGTATTTGGACTTGTGGGAGAAACCGGAGCACTCAGAGAAAAACCCACGCGAACACAGGGAGAACATGCAAACTCCACACAGAAACGGCAACTAACCCAGCCGGAGCTCAAACTAGCAACCTTCTTCTTGTGAGGTGATCGTGCTTCCCACTGCTTCACCGTGACACTCAATTGTGTATATATCTATATATACTTTTAACAGTCATCCCTGCATAAACATTTTTATTTCATCTTTATTCATACATCAAAACGTCAGTCCAGTTTTATCATAGTTTTTGTCATTTAAAAAGGAAACTTTTTAAATTACAACAGAATCAGTGAAAGAATGTGGTTGACCAAGAATATGACAAAAAATATTCATCAACTAAATGAACACGCCACTTCAGAACAGTCCGAGCCACAAAAATTCATAATGCAGCACAGAGTAAGCACAAGTGTAGTTTATTCTAATGCACTGACATCAGGCATTTTTATGTGTGGCTTCAGTGCCCAGGTTATTTTTCTGGGCCACTGCATACATGAAGGAGAAGAAGGACACTCACTGAGGCTTTGAGGGCCCGGATTGTGTGATGCCTGGGGAAGCCCATAGAGGTGAGGATGGAGATGCTCTCCTCTGGAGGCTGGTTGTCCAGTGCACTGGTTGTAGGAAGACTCGGACTGGGCAGATCTGATTCCATGTAAGTGGGAACAGCCAGAGGCTCAGCAAAATCTGTTGTTGATTTAACAAGAGACATAAAAACAAGAGTTGTATCACAGATCAGTAGGTCATTCTACAGCTAAATGTGGTTTAAACAGTGGACTCTATGCACAGCTAGAGTTTTAAAGCCAACGATAAACTTCTGGTGAAAGCTTAATGTGACTATTTTCAATTTCACAAGGTTGTTTTACAGCATCAATGTTGTAATGTAATTACAGTTAAATATACTTAAGAATTCATCTAGTTGTTTAAGCGTAAAACGAGATGAAAGATTGTTGTAACCACCAGCACCGTCAGTAGCAACAGGCTAGTGCAGAAATGACATTGTAAATAATGGGGATAAAATCAACTGTCATATTTTAAAGACTTAGTGGGGGAAATGGATATTAATGCAGTGATTCTTATCTGTTCTGAGACCCACTTCATATTGTATATCTAACAGCCAGTAAACGATCTTAAACGTGACAATTTTGTAATGAAAAGACCGTTCACCGGAAGCCCTTGGAAATGAAAAGTCAGTGTGCATTTAGCCCACTGGTTTCATCATTTACATATGTGACAATTGCATTCAACATCGCAATGAACTTCAGTTACATTTAGATTATGGCAAAAAACTAAATTATTAGTGATAATATTAATGTAATAATATGATTTTTGTTATTATTCAAATATTTTTACATATTACATTTTTTTTACAGTATTCTCTATGATATTTTTCTTCTGTAAAAAGTCTTATTTTAGTTTGGCTGGAAGAATAAATAAATAAATGAAAATATAAGATCATTATATATATATATATATATATATATATATATATATATATATATATATATATATATATATATATCCTTAACATTTTATGAACAAACCGCAAATTAACTAATTAATCTAGATAATCATTTACGGTGAAATAAAATAATCTCAATACTTTAATTGGTTTACATTTTCTTTATCTTTATTTTTTATATTTATGAATTACAAAGCTTATTTATTTATGTTAGTGTTTTCTGCTGCTAATGTGTTTCCATTTAATTTATGTAAATTTTATTTACTTACTTTTGTTTTGTTTTTTTTTTATTTCTTGCTGAGTGTCGCTGAGTGTAACCTAATTTCATTCTGCTTTACATCTACTGTGATGTTCAGTTTGACAAAATAAAGCAAACTCATAATGGCAAAGACAAAATAAATTATTGTTAGAAATTAGTTATTAAAAATATTAATAATTGTCAAAAAAATATTCTCCTCATTAAACAGAAATAAATTTTTACGAGAGTTCTTTGACTGTATAAAGCAGGGGTCACCAATCTCTGTCCTGGTGGGCCGGTGTCCCTGCAGGGTTTAGCTCCAACTTGCCTCAACACACCTGCCTGGATGTTTCAAGTATACCTAGTAAGACCTTGATTAGCTTGTTCAGGTGTGTTTGATTAGGGTTGGAGCTACAATCTGCAGGACACCGGCCCTCCAGGAACAAGTTTGGTGACCACTGGTATAAAGCATCAAGCTATTTTTTAAATTTTTTTTGCAGGTATAAATCATTTAACTCTTGCATTTAAATGTGGTTGCCACTTTTTACAGTGTGTGTATGGCCATAGTTATGACATCTAATATATCAGAACACAAACAACTCAGACAATTGATAGAGGGCTGCGATTCTGACAAACTATAGCATGGTCATTCAACCATTTATTCAGAATAAATTATTCATTTGGAAACAAAGCAAGTGAATATTTTATACACGGATCACTGATGCACTGGCTCACTCAATTTGTTCAAAAACATTTCATTTTGGAAGGAAGTACTGCAGTGTTGCTCTGAGACACACAAAAGCTCTGTTATTGGCAAAACAGAAAAATAAAACGACAATATTGTGTCCCAAATGTAACTCGCTGTTCTCTGTTGAAATGTTTTAAATTTAATACTGCCACTCTTGCTCATGTTACATAACTTGACAATATCATCTAAAACCCATACTGGGAATTTGTCGCTTTCATAGCATAAATTACAGGGCAATTCTAGCTGCCTTCATATGCTTCATCACACAGTGAATGCTTTTGGACTTGAAGAACATGCTTCTGGAAAAGTATTTTGTGTTTAAGCAACAATTACGGTATTACCGCAGACAATAAATACTGCAAATCTCTAGATGGAACAGAGTACATTATGTAGTGCTGTACAACCAAAGTACCTCGACTTCATACTGAGTCTAGGATGTGGATTTATTCACCAAATGTGCAAAGAGGATGAAAAATCACACTGGCTGCTCTTAAGATTACACAGATAAACCGGAAATTCAAATGAACAAGAGCCATGTAATCCATTCCCTATAGTCTGAATCTAATCCTTTAATGTTCAAGATCAAATGCTGTCCTCACACATATAAAAACATCACATAACACCACCATGTTTGACCACTAGCTACAACAAACTGACCTTCACAGATAAACAAATTTTTAGAAAAGGATTAAAGGTGCCATGAAATATAAAAATGGCTCATTTTACTAAAATAACTGTTAATTTAATTACTGCACTTAAATCTTTCTAAGGATGCAGAGCTTTATTCAGAGAAAGTTTGATGTTTTAGCATGAAGTAAATCCAGTTTGCACACACTAGACCAGGGGTTCCCAAACATTTCAGCCTGCAACCTCAAAATAACAATGTCAGTGACTCACGACCCCCATTTTTCTCGAAGCTAGTTATAAATATACAAACGTTGCATAGAAAAGGCATATGTATATAAACCTGAGCATATTGACAACACATAAATGCAACAGTCTAATAACCATATATATATATATTTTTATAATTATTTATTAATTTAATTTAATTTAATATTAACCTCAAATATCGTATTTTAATGTATTAGAGTGCCATAAAGGTTGTCAGAAAGTTTAACCTGGCCCCGTTAAATCAATCCGCTGCAGCTGACACTATTGCTGTGTTGCTATTCCAAAGGAAAAAAAAAAATTGAAAGGCTGATAATTTTTTTATTTGTATGTTGTTGTTTCTTTAATGTAACTTTTATCTGTCATTTGTGGGTTATGAATAAAATATGATTATTCTAAGAGTTTAATAACATTTCTTTGAGTTTTGAAAATCACCAAGTGACACCTTGCCATTGTCCCATGACCCACCAGGGGGTCTTGACCCCCACTTTGAAAACCATTGCACTAGACACTGACTTTTTATCAATCCCCAAGGACCATGATTTCACTTAAAATATTCTTAAATGTACAATTATGCAAAAAAAAGTTACATATATATATACAAATAATTTTTATACAAATATAAAAAATATACCTCTAAAATACCATATAAAATGTGTGTCAATTGGATCTGGGGAGGTCAATCAGCCTTTCTCCAATCCCCGGTGGCTCAGTGCTTGTTGTGGATATTTAAAATTGAACTAAAACAAACGATTTTGACTGGCTGAGAATGATATTGAAAATTCAGAAATGTGCTTCAACTGGCATACTAGGAGCCATGGAAAGTTTAAAATAAATAAAATAATAAACAAAAATATAAATGTGAATTTTGTTTAAGATTTGCATTTGTATTACACAAAGGGAACTACAGTAGGTGAGAGTTCAAAGTGGCTATTACTGCCGGAGCATATACCGCTGCCGTTTGAAATAGCTGCCGCTCTGTTTTTAGTGTATGACCGCAGTTTGCGAATATCTCTGCTGTTTTATAGTTAAGACACTAGAGACTTAGAGATGTTTTTATATGACCTTTTTGTATTTAGTAATTGCTTCTACTACTACTACTACTAATGATAATAATATTCAGTAATAATATTATTATTCAGTTATATTAAAAGTTGTTTTAAAAAATATTACTTTCAGAAAGCATTTCATAAAAGCGACAGTAACAAATTTATAAAGATGTAAATTTAAATGATTGCTTCCTTTCTTTAAAAATGTCAATTTATTAATTAATTTATTAATTAATTTAAAATATTAATTTATTAATTAATCCTGAAAAAAACTACTTAAATATTCAATATTGGATCAAATAATTTGTTTAATTTAAATAAATTATACATATAATAAAAATCACTTAAGTAGACTAATTTTCAAGTAACCTACTAATAATAAGCCTTGAGAAATAAATTAGCAATTATTTAAGTGTAATAGCCACAAATAATGCTTTTTAAGATTTGCAATTAACAGGAAAAATGTTTTTAAATTAAAAAAATTATATAATATTTTTAATTTTAAAAAGTCATTTTAAATTGCACATACTGCATTTCTGATGAAATAAACACAGCGATCTTGAGAGAAATTTTAAAAACACCTTAATAATTCACATACAACACAACAAAACAGTATGTATCACCATGCACTTTTATGAATTAGTCATACCAAACAAACAAAACTATTTGAAGTATGAATATACTTCTACTTTTTACATACACAACTAGAAGTTAGGATTTATGTTTTCCTAAGACCAGTCATATTTCACCTCCACAGTTCTCAAGAATTAATGCAAGACTAAAAAAGATCTGTGTATAACGCACCCCATATTAATAACCACTGTCAGTGGTGTCAGTATAGGAGGAGGGCCAGCTGTAGCTGTAAAGCCACACAACTCTAGGAGATGTGAAGCTAATGGTGTTTGGCCCACTAGAGACTCTGCTTGTGTGTATGTCTGAGTCTGTTTGGGATCTCAGGTGGCTGCTTAACTGGGCCAGGAAAGAAAGGAAAGCAGAATTCCCAGCTCGCAGGTGACGCTGAAGTGTGAGGACCGTGTTTACTAGCCTGAAGCGCAATAATAAACAAGGGTGCCAAGCAAGAGACTTGAAAAACAACCCTGTGTAAAGTTGATTCAGCTCAGCGTGAGCATTCTTAGTGTGATGACATAAACGCTTAAATCCAAATTGCATTTGGATTAAAGGGATAGTTCGCTCAAAAATGAAAAAAATGTGTTTCCATTCAATAATTTTTTATGTGCATTTTGAAATATTGCATTAAATATGCTAAATAGAAAGGCCAAGATGTGCATGCATTTTGAA